GCTGATATTATCTGCTCGTGGAAATGATTTCCCTGTCGTTTCTAGTGGTATTAAATATTCTGACAAGGATGGGGGAGTCAATATTAGAAGTCGGTTTATATTAAATTTGGATCGATTGTCTCTGTGTGTTGCTTTAAGTGTGGCCTAGGGCGTAGCAAAGTCAAAACAGTGCGAGGATAAACATTTAAATTGCTTGGGGTAATATTAGTATTTGGACTTGCATTACACCATGACCATACCGAAATGGTCAGCTAGATATCATGCGATGTTACTGGTACCATAAAATGTGAAATTAGTAAACTGATTTTTTTGTTAAATGGTTCACGCATAAACTTGCATTTTAACAAAAAAAAATTACACGAAGACAAAATATGAATGTCTCCCCGAATTTCTGGTTATATATTTATAGCAATATAGTCAGTCGTATAACTATTGAAATTATGTAGGCTGTAATATATAATTACAAGAAAGATATTTTTCTCATTTTGGAATGATAAAGGATGATGGTCAGCGGGATATATAATTGAATCTGTTTACTTGTTGAATTGGAAAGGCCGAGCTGTTTATTTATAACCGGAGATTTTCACAAAAGCGGTTTCCATGGCAGGGATATTATAACATGTGTGCTTTTTATCCATCACCTTTTGTATTTCAAAAACATTTATTTTCTATAATCAAATTTACTGTTAACCTCTACGTGTGCATGCCATCCACATGTTTCTTGGTTACTGTCAACACAACCATATCCTGGTGCTGAGAGAGACAGAGAGCCAAGGCAGGAGAGAGAGAGACAGAGATGAACACATTTTCTTTGAACATGATGGCTATTTTTAAATAAATGCCCCTCCTTTCGCGATTACACAATATCTTGATATTTGGGAGGAAAGGGAAGAGATTTGAGATGCAATTGTTTTTTCCACTTGCAGATGAACCTGCTGTGCCCTATCCATCAAAGGGCATATTTCCGCGATTTGCACTTTAATCCCATGGCCGATATTTGGAGACACGGAGGAGCAAGCAGAATTGATAAGAGGCGACGGTAAACTGTCATAAACACGTGATCGCGTGTGACGATAGCGCACGACTGCTATTTACAATACGTCGTGTTTTCTCTGTGTCCTCAGTGTTCATTTAGAATTTGGTAATGAGCATGTGTGCGCGCGTTGCGTCCGTGGGTAAGACAGCTGTCTGTAAGGAACCCGTTTCTATGGTGACCAGCAGATGGATCTCTTCACCATGGAAACGGGTGCTTCAGCAGATGGCATTCGGTCAGCATTCCAGACAATGGTTGTAGAATTAAAAATAGAAATCCTGGATCATGTGCTCGAGGATGTAGGGGGAAAAAAAAGAATTGCATAATTGTTGGACTTCAAATAAAGATTTAAGCCACCCTCATTCAATGCGCTGTGGGAAAGCCAACATGTAATGATTTTCAAGGATTGGAAGGTGTGCCAGACGCACGCTTGCGCCACCTACACCGAGTCCTCTGGCGCGGCTGTGATCACGCCGTGGACAACGTCGCCCGTGGCTCGCCTCTCTGACAGCCCGACCACACGCCGCCAAATCCCAGATTCTGCTTCTTCTTCGTGTGGACGATGTTGATGTCGGGCAACACTTAAAATTTTATATTGAGGTGGTCGCGCCAGATAATTGTGTCCGGAGCTGCGGAGTGTATCGGTGTGACGATGCCTCCTTTTCTTAAATGTGAAATCAGGAATTGAGTAGTGATATTTCCCCATGGTCTGAATTCCTGATGAATGCTGCTGACTTGAACAACGGCACCTTTCAGGCCTCGCTGTAGCAGTGCACTTGTGACTGAGACATCGTCACAAGCCTGTGCAAACCGTGCATCTACGTACGACGTTAATTTAGGAAGTGAGACGTAACAGAAGTATATATGTTTTGCTGACAGCAGGGTGGTTTTATAGCCAGATCATGCACACATGGCTTCTGGAACAGGGCTATTCAGCACGAGGTGGGGGGGGGGGGGTCTGTATGCAAGTGTAAATGATTCACCACTGACAGAGATTTAATGGAGTCTCAAGATTCAGGGAGGGCACCATTCTATTCAAGAACCGGTTTAGTTTTATTTTGTCTCGTTTTCACCATCTCATTTATATTGTCGTTTATTCCCTCTCGTTTGTGCAGTTTTTGTCCACCACTCCAGTGGCCTAAAAGTGAACCTTCGCATATCGTTTGTATGAATTGTAGAATGCTCCTATCTCGCATGCGCAATTCGATGCATGACTCATCAGTGTAAGGATCTATTTTAATTGATGAACGGATGCATCATTACACTTCTAGTTTATAGCCAAGCATACGTAGTGTGCTACTGGTGTAACAATTTATATTAAGCAAGCGTGGATTGCTTTGAAATCCATTCAAAGAATCAATTTTTAATTAACAACTATCTGCTCAGTAGCTTGTTTGATTTTTTTTACTTGGGTACAGCGGTATATGTGTGTGTGTGTGGCAATGCACAACCACAACCATTTTTGTACAGGCTTCCAATATTATTTTAAAATTATTTTTTTCATTCAGTTTTCCAGAGGGTACAGTACAAAATTAAGCAGCATAATATGAAAAATGGTCAGAGAGATAACACGAGGGCACCTTGTGCTATGAGAATGGTTGAAGTATTCGTCTCTATATATTATATCGCAGGTACGGAAGCATTTTCCCCAATGTTATCGGCGCTCCAGTGTCACATGGTTAGGTAACAGAGGATAGTGCAGAAAAATCCATTGCTGCAAATGTACTTCTATGCTTCCCGCCTTCACAAACCTGCAATGGCTAACAACCACGAACCGCAAGGCATGAAGGGAGGCCCTCATCCAGCATAAGGTGAGCTTAGGGGATGTACATTTATGTACACACAGAGGCGTTTTAACACGGCATCTTACAGTTGCAGAATTTCTGCTGGCTCATTGATATGCATTAAGGTGTCCTCACAGTGGCTGCTTTGTCATCAGCACAACTTGACAGCGACAGGCCAGATGGGTAGGTTTCCGAAATCAATGAAATAAGCCAGATGTAATCAGGGCATGCCCCTACGACCTGTAGCCGCTCGCTTCCTCCAGGGGAGAGAGGCGTCTATGCGATCATCACCATGCATCACAAACATGGGCAGTGCTGTGTCTTAAAGTTGGCTGAAGGCTGCATTGTAAAAACATCTGATCGATGCGAGAGTGTATACGATTTGCAAACAGGCAATGTTTCTAGGTAATACCTACAAGCTAAAGATAACACGTGGATAAATTGTTAATACGGTTCTACACGACATTCGCGAAGTAAATAGGGCAAAGCATTGGCTATATTGCCGTTTTTATTTCTCAATACAATTATTATCTAATACAATTACTCGTACATGAAACCAGGTGATTACTAATGCATGAAATGCCACTCGCTGATGGATATTGCTACCCACTGATGCTTTTTTAATAAAATGTCAGGAAGATATTTTTTTACACACACGTATAAAAAAATGTAGGGCACGGAAACTAATTTTACGCCGTAATCTTTGAAGGCTCGGCGTGCGGTGACGCGCAGGAGCGGGAGCGAGGAGAGGGATATTTTCACATTTCGGTGGCTTGGGGAGTATCCTTGCAGTGGAACTAAGATTGCCACTGATCAAATGTCAGAGAATATATCACCCCACAAATCAGTATTTCCCCTATGAACAAATCTTTTAATATCGGTCCCCTTCCTAAATATGCGTAGCGCTTCATTTTCTGTAACAAAGTAGCATTTCGTAATTAAGCGGTATGAAAGCAAAACGTTAATATCTGTTGAAGCTTTCAAGACCACGAAACAAACAGGCAATAACTCAATAGTAATCCATAGCATGAAATGTCTATATAAAACGTTGTTGACTAATGGGCGAGGATCATGTGCGACACGGATATGATTTGTAGCAGAAAAGTATCGCGACTCCTACAATTGAGTAATGTCAGCCCCCTTTTTCGATTCAGTGCTGCACTCTAAACGTGCCGGCTGTATCACGCTCTCCTCTTCTGCACCGACCGCTCTAGGACACAGCAATTAGTGTGTATAGTTCTGAGTCAAAGGGGGTGAACTCCTCGGTGTGTATGGGGGTGACGGGAGGGTAGATGAGATTTTGAGAGGATACCCACCCCCCACCACCTCTTCCCTACAATTGATGCCAGATGGTACATGCCAATTATAGCCCCCCGCAACGTGCGCATGCTTCAGCAGTCTTTATGGAGCAGCACCTGCAAGTGTGGAATATTAATGGCCGGGCGCGCTCCATCTCATGAATGGGGAAGGGGGGAGGTGGATTTTGATGCTCGCCACCTTGAGACCTTCTCCGACCAGTCGAGTTCATGCAAACGCGAATGCCCTTTCGCCGTAGGCCGAGAGCCTGCCAGACCTGGTGCATGTGTCACATGCTCGGTGTCAAGTGACTAACGCTGAACAATATTGACACAGCCGTCGCATTCTTTGACACGAATTCTAATGACTCTCAATAACGTAAAAATGCGTGTTTGCAAATTAAGTTGAATTCCGTTGTCTTAAATTAGAAGATAGTATTGCAATTCTAAAATAAAATATTTGCACAAACACTCCATTAATTTGTACCCTGAATGTGTGCATCAGGTGAAAACAGTGTCAGTGAAAGCTTTTTAATTTACTGTTATGGTGCTAAGTAGAATGGTGGCACAGTGGTTAACGCACTGTGCGATGAACCCGACAAGTCGAGTTTGATTCCCTGACACAGTTAACATCGGGAGCTAGTAATACATGACACCTTTCTGGACTACCCATTCACTAACACTGACTGATCAGTGTGTTGAAGTATAGTCAAATAACCTCCCACTCAACACTGCATGGAGGAGTGGGGGGGGGGTCTTCATCTATCATCCAGCAGTGGATATCCAACGATACAGTGTATATACACACAAATATATTATGGTGCCCGCAGCGTTGGGAGCTACGCTTTGCCGCTAAATCGTTGTCACCTCTTTCTCAAATTCCCCCAGCGGTGCGAAGAACGAGCCAGAGCCAGAGCAGCCGGTGCCACGCAAGGTGACGCTGCACCCAATCCAGGGCGTGGAGGACATTGACCCCGACGTGCTGGAGAGCATGAACTCTCTAGGCTGCTTCCAAGACAAGAGCAAGCTCATCCAGGACTTGCTGTCCGAAGAGTGAGTGTGCGCCGTGGTTGGGCCGGGTCTCTTACAAAAACGAGGGATTTTATTTAAGTTGACGTTTCGAGTTGAGCTGTAGTGCGTGCGTCTTTGTCTCCGTGTGATGGCCCAAATTCAGCGGTTGCTTTATCATCGGCCATAAATATATTCGCTGCTGGATGAAGGAATCCACTCGCAATCGCTATTTCCCATGTGATGTTGGAAATCCGTCTTGCACCTGCTCGTGCTGACGTCTCTCGTGTGAGTGTTGTTTTTTCTTTGCCGCCATTCCGTTGTTAGTCTTGACCACTCGCCCGACATCTTTTCTCGAGACGTGTCCTGCTCAAGGCCCACTTGTTCTTTGTAGCGGTCATTATCACGTCCCTACCTTGCCCATGTTCTCAAATCCATGCCCTTCCTCAGTCTGTCTCTCAGCGTAATCCCGAGCGTGCACCTCTCCCTGCTTCCCTGCGCACTTCACTTTTCACTCCATTTGATTTGGCAGTGTCATTCAGGGTCCATGTGTTGTTGAGGCCTGCACTACCACGGGGGGTGGGGTTGGGGAAGATTTTTACTGGGCAAAATGCCTGGTTGATTGGTGGGCCCAGTGCAAGGTTGTAGTACGGTATACTGTATGTGAGTGCTTGAATGTGTGTCTGAAACTCTTGTCTCAAGAGTGCTTTGTTGAACCCTTACCAATGACTGCATGTGCATTCAGATGACGATGAGGGGACTCGTATAGGTTGCGTTGATCTTTTTTTCTTCACTTTTGAATTTAATGAACCTCCGATTGGTACGGTCGGCTACGTATGGTGCGAAGGGACGTTAAACGTGCACAATGAACGCATGGAGGGCAAAAATGGCAGAGATGAGGAGCTAAAGTCAAAGGAGAGGGAGGAAACGACACCATATGTGTATGTACGTTGAACTTCTTTTGTACCGTACGTAGCCAACCGCGCTAATCAATGAGGTGCACAACAATGCCAGCATATAATAATAACAATGACATCCGAGGTGACATGGGATTCACTGATTATTTTGTACAAAAAATATGTTCTGTTTACATTTAACTTCACTGATTATAATTATAGATAGTGAATTATACGTGTTGCCAATACCAAATATGTGATTGATTATATAGAAGACATACTCTACTTGTTTTCAAGTCATCTCTCTAATACCTCTGTTTCATTACACCGTATTTTAAAATGCAACGTGAAAAATAATGAGCGTTGGTGAAAATATAAAGATTTAAAAAAAAAGATGAATTCCAGGAAAAATAATTATGAGGAAAAAAACTAAATTGTGAAAAATCTTTTCCTAGATTATTTTTGAGTAAAATTTATGAAAACAAAGACATGTGGGAATGGGGACACGCATAAACTTGCAGAAATAAAGGTCACTGGTAAGATACATTCGGAATCACACTGGCAGACTTTAACCTTTTCTCTTTGAATTATTTTATTTACAGGAAGAAAAAAAAGGATACTTATAAACCAAATCTTTGCATTTCATTTTTTTGCAAGAATTATATTGAAATTTAGGAAAACTAAATCCACAGTAAGTACTTCTTTTGATATACACTGGCTTGCGTATTCCAAAAAAAATAACAACACAATATTCCTTTTTTTCTTTCGCTTGAGCTCCTCAAGCTATTGCCAACGGGGGTAAAATGATTTCATAATTCGGCCGTATCGGCGCAGCCATTTATTTTTTTAGTGCTCTGCGCTGAGCACGGAAGCAAATGTGAAGTTGACTGCTGTGTTAATATATTACTCGACTGACGAGTGTGTAACTGCATTTTGGCAGAAAATACCTCATTCATTCAATGTGTAATTAGTAATAATCTGAGAAACAGTAATTATGCAATATTCCTCCAGTTAGTTATTTTTCTGTTTTTTTATATTCCATAGCACTTAAAGTCTGTGAACATGAAGAATATAGTATATATTTTTTCACATCGGTGTGAAATAAAGGAATATGTGTTTAACAATAATATATTTTGGAGAAGAGAATTTCTTATATTACAGAATCCCATAAAAAATTGTATGCACTTTTTTTATTGTGAGCAAAATGCCAAAAATAACACACTTTATTTTCTCACAATCGTAAGCTGAAAATATGTTTCACCATTAACCCTATGTATGACCAAATCATGCAGACTCTTCCCTATTTCCTCATCTCAAAAGCGAAGCGGTCTAGAGCCTCGATAGTGCTTTGATGGGCGACCACCATGCATAAGAAGGATTGTCATAGGCCGCTGCAGCCTTATTATATCGTTGGCATCAGCGAACAGCGTAGCAACATCCATCGTTGCACTGTACGGTACTCCAACATGCATGCTCCCAACCATGACCAGCATGGTGAATCATGGTCTTATACCACCCCACGGCATTAGGAGGCTCTTATCCGGCAGTATATTGGGAAAAAAAGGCTCTACATGATTATGTGCAGCACATTCGTCGTCTGAAAACCTGAGTTATGCATGTTCAGCTGCTCTTCTTAAAGACATTTGAAAAGAGCTTGGTCTTTGTGCATTACAGAAGAGATTTTTGTATAGTGACCTTGACTTCTGCATATCCAGGGGCTTAAACCTGACTAAGGCCGCTGAAATAAACACCAATCTAGAGCAGTTTTTTTTTCTGCCGGAGAGGTCCCTACAGAGAGGCATCAGACCTCAGGTGGTCACATGGCCCTATTATCCTTCCCACAACCCCCTGCCGGCTAATGGCTGTAAATCATCGCTCATTATTTGTGTCCTGTGGAGGGAGAGTGAGGCGAGAAAGTAATAAAAGGTAGCGCCTTAGGGTGTGCGGAGATGTATGCCAACAGATGTGAGCAGCCTATCACCTCCTTATCTGCTGTTCCCTTGGGGGAGCAAGCACACATCAGAATGAAGAAGAAGAACAAGAAGAAGAAAAAATATCAGTATTAGGACGCATTATGTTATTGTATACGTGCTGGACATAACGGGATGCTGCCCTGCTGGATGGAAGGGTTAGCACGCTGGACTTGCAATTGAGAGGTCGCAAGGTCGATCTCCCCGGCCCCGCAGTTCTGAAATATTGGGCAAGTTTCTCAAATCATCTCCAACTCTCACCACAGCAGTATAAATGGATATGTCACAATTCGTTGTATCGGCAGGTCACCTGCGGTGGGGTCAAATATGGGGTCAAGTATGGGTATTCCATCTCTTCCAGGACATCTGGTCGGTGTGGAAGAGTATTCCATATCAGAGTATTTCTTTAGGCTGGAGGAATCCGATGATCTATTAAACTCTTTTTTCGCAGATGTCCAGTATGGGTGGGTCAGAAAGTTACAACAGACACGAATGCAAAAAAACCGATAGGAGTACAAAATAGAGAAAATTGAAAGCAAGTAACGAAATATAAATAAATAATAACTACATTAAGTATAGAAGCTCAATTTATCAACATTGGGCAAGACGGGAAAAAGCAACAACAAACCAGTCCCAGACCACACCAAGATAACACCACACAGTAGCCCCGCAATAAAATGGCACATTAATGTTGAACTATCGACACACACGTAATGATCAAAGTTACAAATGACGCTGGCAAATGCGACTGCTGTATCCAGCACTGATTGTCCTGCTTCAGGATGCATAATCTGTATAGAGGCTGTCGTGAGCCCTTTGTTGGAGACCCTTCTCCCAGCAGTGGCGTGAGCGAGCTACTGCTGGGCTGTGCCTTTTCCTGTCACTGTACACCGAATTTTTCATTTTGAAAGGAGACTTGCTGTCTTATCGTGGTGTCATTTGATTTGGTTTGAACAATAATTTACAGCCCTTTGTCATTCCATCTGCTGGATGAAGGTCGCCCCCTCTTCCCTCCCCCACCACCCTCCTCCACCGTGTTGGTCACGTTTAATCATACTTCAGCACGGTGCTGAGTGTGGGGTTGTGAATGGGTTAACCCGCAACAACCAGTTCAGAAATCGCTCGCCGCTGATTTTAGCTACGGCTGGGAGTTGAACGCAAGTCACCGGATTCATAGCGTGGTGCGTTAGCACCACTGCTCCACCCTGGTTTATTATCTTGAATAATGTATTCATGCTTCTTAAACATTTTGTTATTTTCTTCTCGAGTAACGGCAAAACACGTCGTATGCGAAATACATTCTTAGTTGCAGATCGACACAGACACGAGAATATTACGTTTTGCTGAACTTAACAGATGGCCCAGACCATTAATCAGAGGGATGTGACGTGTATTTTTTAGGCATTTGGATTAGCATAGATTAAAGATCAACATTTGACATATTACACTTGGAATTTCCTCTTAGTTGTACATCTGCTGCAAAGTAGGATGATGATGAAGAGGAAGCTGAGCTTTGGGGATACAGAAAAAGATTATAGGATAAAAAAATATGAAAATACAAGGAGCATGGCAAAAACAAACCGCTGTGACAGTTTTGTGAGTGTAAATATAGGAGAGACAATAAACACACTTCTTGAGTGGTGTAAAATCACTGTTGGTTCTTCTCTCTTGAAACCCTTTTTAAAAATTGGTATCCCTTTCGATGTGGAATCCTTTGTCATAAGTCTGATTTGATTAGATCCTGGGGAGCACGTATTTGCTCAGTTTTACAGTTCTAAAGTTCCATATACTCTTTAAGACTTTGCTTTGGCAAAAAGCAAGTACCTATATGAATGTATGAATGTTTATTTAAACAATCAACTGCTCAGTGGGAAAATTGGAAATTTAATATAGATGTGAAAGTTGACTGTCACGGTTTATTTGTTCGGGGAAAAACAAATGTTTATCAGTACATTAACATTCCGAGTGTGTACATATTCACACGTTGTACAACATTATATATTAATAATAGGAATCGTTTGGAGATGTTTGTCAATTTGCTGCTGGATAGAGGCATCTCCATGCAGTGTCAGTCATTGGGGTTGTTTAACCATACTTCTCCACGCTGATCAGTGCAGGGGGTATTCGGAAACCAGTTCAGATATGACAAATCACTGATGATTGCTGTGACTGGGAATCAGACTCAAGTCGACAGGTTCATTGTGCACAGCTCGCTGCACTGACCACTGCACCGACACTCCATTCCATATTTTTTAGTACACACATCACACTTGATTTGGAGCTTTCATGGCTGCAGAAATTACTCTTTGGTTCTTTCGGTAAAGTCACGTCGAAAGAAAATAACTAAAATAATAGCATACGACGTTTCGATTGCAACACAAGCAACCGTCATCAGGTACAAATGAAAGCAAAAACAAACCTAGTAAACTTAGAAATATAATGGAATACAACACAGAGTCGGCTAACATAACAGTCAACACCCTACCTGGTTGATTACGTTCTTCCAAAGATTGCTAAATTTGAGAGAGAGACAAAACACATACACGGAGACACACAGACAGACACATAAGCAGAGAGAGATAACACAGAGATACGCAGAGAGAGACATGTTGGCTTATTCAATACGATTGAACTATTTAAACTACACAATTTTTACTTTGCCAGGTAAGGCCCACTGAACTATGTAGCTCTTTTTCAGAAGTGACCTGGCTACAAATGATAGTCCAATGACGTGGTCGAGCACGTGGACAATTATAGCAGCCAAATACTCTAAACGCATGTTTCTAAATGTGGATGGAAAACCCAGAGGACCCGGAGAAATATCCACGTCACCGCAGGGAGAGAGACATGCAAGCTCCAAATATACAGGAATCAGGGTCTGGATCGAATCCACATCCTCCTGTGTACCAGACGAGGGAGTTAACATCTCGCCACCAAAATATATATTTTTAAAGTCCAAATGCATGGCTTTGTAGATGTCTATTAGTATCTATACGGTATCGGGTGATTTATTCGACATGTCGTGAGTTACCACCTGTTCCACACCCCCCCCCCCCCCCCCCCCCCAGCTCTAAAATGGTTTATCACGATTCGGGGTTCCATTGCAATTCATGAATCTGACTCTCCTTTGTTTCATGTTGGCCATCTCCTTTGTGTTTGCTCGAGCATGTCTTGTCTTGCTTTGATACCACTTTGTAGCGTGTAATTGTGTTCCTCGCTCCGTGTCCATCTCGGCTCTGTAAGCTGAGGTGTTGATTATTATTTTCCTCCTGTGCAGGGAAAACCAGGAGAAGATGGTGTACTTCCTGTTGCTCGACCGGAAAGAGCGATATCCCAGCCAGGAGGACGAAAATCTCCCGCCCAGAAATGAGATCGGTAGGAATGCACTTACATGGATGATAGTCTTTATATCGAATGCCCACCGTGCTTTAATTGAACAGATTGAGGTGCCTTCGTACCTCAAACATGAACATAGTTTGAACTCTTTGAGTGGTTGGGGTACCGTGGCTGCAGATTGAAGACTCTTACAAAACTCCATCCTCTGTTCCATTCTCAGGTGAAAATGCATGGAAGTAGACTAATTAACGATCTGGAATACTGTGGCAGCTCCTCATGGAGAGACCCATAGATTCGCAGAAAGACTCATGACTCACAGAGAGGCCCGTAGTATACATCGAAAGCCATGGACTCGCATAGAGACCCATTGAGAAACTGGAATGCCCTCTACCATCTGTGCTTTTTTCCAGCAAGTGGCTTCATGGTGCACACAGCTGATGCAGCTTCCCAGGAGAACTAGTCTGCGGGAGACCAGCACTTTTCATCATCATCACCATCACACTTTCCGTGTGCATTTCAATTTTCAATGAATCTACTGCATTTTCTGCCTCACCACATGAGAGCCATAGCCTGCCACTGTCTTAACTATTTTATATGTGGTTGTGTACATTAATACACAACACATGGGTCTGTCCCAGGACTTCCTGCCAATGGACCTTTGCCACTTCATTTCTGTGCCTTGCTTGGCCTTTAAAGTGTGCATGTATTATGTACGTGTCATTTAGTTCAATGATTCACACTTGAAAATACCAGCAGGAAACATTTACAGAAACTTTTCACATTTTTATGCCTAGTTTTACCTATTATAGCCATCTTAAAGTTTAAGTGTGCATTGCTTAAAAATACATAAATATTATTCATTAGAATCATTTACAGCCCGTTGTCAATCCATTGCTTAATGACAGTCTTCCCACACTGGTGATCATGGGGTTCGTTTATCCATACTTCACCACACTGGTCAGTGTAGATTGGTGAACGGGGGGAGGAGGGCAAGGAACAGTTCAGATATTACTCGCCACTCGTGCTAGCCATGACTGGGCATCTAATTCTAGTCACTTGGTTTGTAGCACAGTGTGCTAACCGGTGTGCCACCGTTCCCGCCTGAAAAATCTAGTGGTAAAAATGCAAAAAATAAATCCCCACAGTGAAAATGGCATATATATTTTTAACGTGAAGTAATTTTGAGATACTGAGGTACTTGAGCACCCAACGAATTGCGAATCCTTCTCGCTTAAAATAAGTTACGAGAGCGAACGTAATATGGTGGAGCCTTCTCTTGTGCTGCCGCGCGCCGTCTCAGCGGACCCGCCACGGAAGCGCGTCGACTCGCCGCTGCTCAACAGACACGGCAAGTGGCGGCCCGAGCAAAAGTCAATGGAGGTGCTCAGCGTCACGGACGGCGGGTCTCCCGTTACCGCGCGACGAGCGCTGGAGATGGCGCAGCACAGCCAGAGGTAACGGACGCGCTCGCATTGCCGGCATTTCAGCACCGGACAGCGCCGGACAGCGCACGCAGGCACGCAGGCACGCAGGCACGCATCCTACGGTGGGAAAGTCAAGCACTCACGGGTTTTCTGCACCGCCACCCAAGCCCTGCATCTCACGTTATGGCATGAATTGTTGTCTGCTTGGTTATCACGTTTCTACTTTACTCGAGACAGACAGTTGGCGCATAACGGTGTTTGTTTTAATAAATGAGATATTTTGACTACGGTAAGTGAATCGTAGTGTTCATTAGCCTCAAAAGTCCCACCGTATATGTTTTTTTTATGCTGCTAGATTGTAATCGGGGTTGTTTACATTGCCTTGCCTTCCCCCCCACCCACGTTCCACCTTGCTGTGTGACCTCTGGAATTTAAACCTGTTAAGACTGGGATGATTTAGACGGATTAAGCCTACGATCCCCCCTTGCTGCAGTGAAAATTGTCTCCTTCGTTAAAATATTGGCTAGTGTCCCCCAACTCGTTGTCATGAGTGCTCATACTGTATTCCTAGCCGACTCACTTGTGTTCATACGTTTCCAATATTCTTGCAATACATCCTCTGTTTATAGCTTCAGGAGGAGCATTTAGAGCAAGTTACACATCTCCACTTTCCGAAAATATGCTTAATCATGTTAGAATGGCCATAGCTTATTGCTTGCTTTATCCTGATGCGTTATGTCACATATTGATCTTTAATTATCTAATCTTCAAATCGGTTAACCACGTTTTTTTTTATTAATGCCCAACCCTCCTATAGGTTTACACTTCTCCATTTCTCAAATTCTGACACTCTGAAGTCTATTAGTTTTGCCACTCCTGCGGAGAAAAGTGCACGGGCACAATCAGCAGGCATGCCATTATCTTAGCAATGGTCATAGCCTGTTTGCATTCGCCTTGCCCGTAAGGGGGTGTGTGGGAAAGACGATGATATGGAGACGATATGATAAAGACGATTATATGTAGACGATTATTATATGATAAAGACGATCATGGAGACGAGTATATTATAAAGACGATTATGGAGACGATTATATTATAAAGACGATTATAGAGACGATTATATTATAAAGACGATTATAAATGGAAAGACGATTATTCGGGAAAGACGATTATGTGGAGCTCATTTAAACAGCAGCTGGATATTTGTTTGACAATATTTTGAGGACGAATGTGAACTTTAATCGGGGGGAGGGGAGGGAATTGTAGTTTTGTATGGATTTGTTTTTTTTGTTAAAAAAAAAAGAAGAACTCGGAACGATATTACCAGATACGAGACACTGGCTTGACAGCCTTTCACCACATTTCACGCCGCTCTGTTGTTCCTTTGCACTGTGCCATCTGGAAAGGGACGGCTGAAACTTCACTTTGATTGGGTGCAATGATCCACCACAGCCTTTGGCGTTGTAAATCACCACACCAGGTGCAATCAATGGTGCTAATGTGGTTTGTGAAAGCCACTCAGCAGGGAGTCACGGCGCCTCCTTGTTGAGACCGTCTCCCTCGGTAACAGAGTCATGTCGAGCCCTGCTAATCTTTAACTGCAATCTTTACAAATCTGTTATCAACTAAATGCATTTTTTTCAAACCTAAAATTTAAGCGTGTGGCCCCGTTGCATTTATCTGTGACAGATTAGTCACTTAATCATCATATAAGAAAGCCATTATGTGCTGCAGTGGAGCATTGTGGGTAAAAAAACACAAATTAATGTATTCACATTCAGTATCTCCACGAAACATTTGATATTTGCAGTCTGTCGGGCTCTTTGCCTTCCAGACTTACATTAACTAGCAGCATTTGTTCAAGCAGACTCTGAACCAGCATTGACCTTTTTTACGTGACGATACAGAGCAAAACTCCGTGTATTTTATTATTCTCTTAATTCGTTCTTTTTCATTAATCGACAGAGTGTGACACCACGAATCGTTTAATATATTCGTCTGGGTTTCCGCCAACTACACGATAGTCAAATAATTGTTGCAGCTCGGCAGCATATGAAAATGGTTGAAGGGTATTTCTGATTGTAGCCTTTAAATTGACCAATGCGTTGATCCTCGAGAATAGAGGATTTTGGAGATTTAAATTGCAAATCACAGACTTGAAATGCTTCATGGCTGTTTTAATCCGCAATCACTGCCTTTCACATTAAAAAGAAAAGGGAGGGCAGAAGGTGTGAAGTTTGTATATTTATCGTGTTCACAAATGAACCAACTTAGATATATGAAATGCCAATACTGTGCATTTTGTGTTTACAAAAGTTGGGTTATTTTATTAATCTGCCTGCGACCAAATCATCAGAAATGTGCCTGATCTTGTCAGGTCTCAGAAGCTGAGCAGGCTTGAGCCTGGATAGTGCTTGGATGGGCAACCACCGTCGTGCATATAACAGTGGCTATAGGATGCTACGGCGATAAATTGTCAGCAGCAGGAAGTGCAGCAAAATCCATTGTTGTACTGTAATTCGATGCTTCCGCGCCTACGCTTCACACTTTCACCAAAGCGCACTGACCAGCGTGCTGAAGCATGGTCAATTAATGAATCACCAGGACCCGCACAGCATGGGGAGTCCCTCGTCCAGCAGTGGCTTTGACACAAGGACTGTGGGTGCGCAATTTTGTGAATGTTAAGGAATTCCATCTCAGTAAGTTGATCATTACAACAGCCTTTTATTTTATCCCTTGCTATAAACCGTGTACTCTGCATAACATATGGCAAACAGCATAGCCACCTGGTGTGAAAACGTGTTTCTGTATTAGCATTTCTGTTTTCTATCATCCAAAAACAGATTGATTGATTTCATTTCTTATCGTGAAGCCTTTCCGACTAAGGCCTTTTATTGAATAATTTGTGAACATTGTGTGAATGTCCTAGTGGGTTATAATGTTAATCCATCTGCTATTCCCATAAACAAACAAAAGCGGTGCATTATCTAAGATGTCCATTCGTAACTAATTGATACAATGGCTTTGCTATTAAAAAAAAGTAATCTGCAAGATTAAATTCACTTGTCTGCATAATTTGGGAATCAAGCAGTGTATAGATCACGGATGATTATTAGAATCTCTTGGATTATTCAAAATCCAAATTAGCACCTGCAGTATGAGTAAGAACTGACTTTAGATTAGAAGCATTTGAGAACAATATACTTGGGGGGTATCACATCTACCTTGACAAACATGAATTGTGAAGAGGTAAATGAAACCCATTATGTCTCTGCAAGATCCCAGTGAACACAGAACGTTGGGCCAACGTTGATGCAACAGTTCCAATCAACGTTGGACCCATTGCATACTCACCTGGGATAATTCTTAAGCATCGTCATGAGCCATGAATGCATCCACCGCTGGATGAAGGTCTCAACCAGCCATTGACATCTCTCACATTCTCACGATGCACCAGTCGTCCATGTAGCTTCTGCTTCTGCTACATGAACTGATCTCATCGGTGTCTCTCTCCACAATGTACGTACTTTTCAGCACGTTCCCCCTCTCTTGGCTAATACATTACTCTATTTATTACAGGAACCTCTAACATCAATGTATGTATTCTATGTATCATATAATCGTCAAATAAGAATGTTACACTAAATTGGTACACCTATTATTAGCAAATTTCTCGAAAATGTATGTGGTCACCATTGTAATTGGTTACATAGATCGTTACATTATATAAATGTGGTGTAATGTTTGTGTATATACATGAAGAATATTGTGTATTTCTTCTTTTACGTATTCACACAGAGAGGTGTCACATCACTTTTAAATGTTGTACATGCTCGTCACTGATGCATCAATATCATCAATTCATATGCCCATGATCCAGGCGTCAATCGCGCATTGAAGAATGTGTTGCCTCACATTTATGCGAACGATATGAAAATGATATGCTCATGAGAATTAAAGCTCATAACATGGGCAAGGACAGAACACAGAAGATAAACAACGCATGTAATGAAGTGCAAACAAGTCGAGAAATTGTTTTTATCAACTTTGTTACAATACAAAATTTGACAAATGTCAACGAATCGGCTAAACCATTACATGCCTATTCAGTACCGCGCAAAGGCACTGCTACAGACGGTATGAGTTGTATTTTTAAAAGTATATCATATTTACGCGCGGTGTGGCGGTGATGGAGTCAGGCTGTTTGGCTAAGGGGCCGTCCATAAATGACGTCACGTACCTAGGGGGGTGGGGGTCAGACATTTGTGACGATGTGTGACGAGGGGGGGGGGCGGGTTGAGAAATGTGACGTCACATCGAAATGCGCAACTTTAAATAAATATAGACAACACGTTCTACTTAATTAAATAGACTTTTTAATAAATGTTGCATCCTACAACATCAGAGTGCAGCGGCACATTAAATACGCACTACAATGACAATAGTTTAAAGCGATTTGAAGCATATTCTTGGTTCTTTCGGTAAAGTCACGTAGAAGGGAAACAATAAAATAATAAAGATATAAAACAATAAAATTCTCACGACGTTTCGACTGCAATACAAGCAATCATCATCAGGTGTGAAAGCCACAGCAATGTATTTTTTTAATTTTCTTGCCGTGGTTTTCACACCTGATGATGATTGCTTGTGTTGCAGTCGAAACGTCGTGAACATTTTATTGTTTTATATATAAAAAATATTGTATTTTTCCCTTCTACGTGACTTTACCGAAAGGACCAAGAATATGAATCCCTGCAGTCACGAAAGCTTTAAATCATGATTTGAAGCATGTTTTATTTTTTAAAAAAATTGGGGGGGGGGCAGAGTTTTGTGACGCCATATTTGAGGGGGGGGTCTGACTTTTTCTAACGCCGTGTGACGATGGGGGGGAGGGGGGGTCAAAAATCGTCCAAAATCGCGTGACGTCATTTATGGACGGCCCCTAACCGCTACAAAACTCGGCGAGCTGCTCGTAACCTCCGATTGGCCGTGTGTGGTGGTGGTGGCGGTGGCGGCCCGAGCGGGGCGGGGCGTGTCCCCGCGTGCGCTGGCCAGAAGCACGCGAGCGCTGTAACCAACACAGGGGGTTTGATACAATGAGAGTCATCAGACACCTCCTCTACGTCTTAACCGCACCGCGGCTGCCTGTGCAAGATTGGCGCCGTGCCGCTCTCGGAAGTGATTTCGGGTTGTGCCGCTGGTCGTTTCGGCGTGATGGCCGATGTTTTTGCTCCAAGTGCTTATTCGGGAATTTGGTTTCCGACGAAGGGTGACGGAACATGTGAGAGAGCCGTGCAGCATGGCCGTGGGAACCTTAGCGAATAGGGCTTAGAGCAAACTTCATTCCTCGTGCTTTTGACTGTTTGCCAATTCCTCTCCTTTCAATGAAGTCACTGCACTTTTACAGTATCTGGTGATTGACGAAACATAAAGCGAGACTCTGTGAAGAGTGTTCTTTGTGAACCCCCCCCCCCCTTAAAAACCACAAGGTCAGTGAGAACATGCCACAACTCGGTGTCATAACAAGCATAGCCACGTGATCATGTCAGAGGCCGCGTCAGGTCAGCTTTGATTGTTGGAATGGTGGCTGTGAGCTTGATGGCCACATAAAGTCAGGACATTGCTACTCTTTCATCAGGCGCGACCTCTGGTGACCATAGATCTCCATCGTGAATAACGACAGGGGGTGGTCAGCGTCGGATACCACGTGATTCGGGGATCAGCCTGTCACAGCACTGGGAATCGCATTGTTCAGCTCTGTATAAAGCACGTGCCAACTGCGCCGTGTTTCAAATGCAAGGGGAATGAATGCTGCGGCGTTACTTTAAAGCTTCGAGGTCATTCAGAACTTGCAAGGGTCTGCAAATTGAGACCCTATGGTGCGTGGATAGTAGTGCTATTTATAGGATATAAGCTTTGATTAAAATTTGCATAGAATTGCCATTTTGTAAAGTGAACACAGCTTTGTCGTGGATAACCGATTGCGGTTAAGTGAGACGCTGTAAGACACTATGTTCCCACGACCCCCTTGTTGGATCCATGACGCACACACAAAAAGCGAAGCACCAAACAAGTGGGAAGACGATAATCGAATATTCTCCTGAAACGTTTGGGACGACAAAGTGGCTGATGGTGGTCTATTTGTGCCTTTGCGCGCGCGTTTAGTAAACAGCTGAGCGTGCCGGTCAGAATCATGCCAAAGCACATCCAGGCAGACAGGTATACGTGTGTGCCGCGTGGCCTAACGGTGTGACGTGGTCACCGGTGGAATCCCCCACCCCCCACCCCCGAGGCTGCTCCTAACCCCTGACCCCTGACCCCTCCCGCCCCCCCCCCCCCCCCCACCGGCGATTTTCCTCGAACCCACACAAACGATTGTCCCGTTCCGCGATCCCAGTGTCGCTGCCCTCTGGAGTTCAGAATCCACGTGTCCCCTTCCCCAGTGTCATCCCAAATCGCCAGGGCGAGGTGACAATGTTATCCGCAATGTCCATGGACAGTCAGACCAACCGTCAACGTTTCCCTTGAAATGTTCTTTCATTTTGGGGTATTTTTTTTGTTGTTGTTTACGAAATCATACGAAGCGGCAGTGTTGCATTAAAAGCATTGTGGGGGAGTTTTGCCGCCTTCAAAATTTAAACTAAAGTTGTTGGATAACAGCTGCGGTTAAAATTGTGTAACCTCACCTGGTCATGTCACGTGGTTATTGAGGAGTGCATTAAAACGTTGTCTTGTTACATTCTACACTTCAGTAAAATATCTAAACACAACGTGTATATACCGTGTACAGATTCAGCTGCTCACTTTGCTGCATTATTGCAAAACACAAATTACACAGCAGACTCGCACCAATGGTAACAAAATCAATTGAGGGTGATGCACCATTTATTTTGTTGCATCGATCATTAATTATTTCATGCGTGGCAGCATTCACAACTGGACAATGATGAGCAGTATTTGATATATGCATATCCTCTATCTGTATTCGCAGAGGTGCTGCCATGGTAGAATGGTGAAGCACAGTGCACCTGCAATCCAGAGGTCATCAGTTCAGTTTAAACAATGGGCACTTGTACCGCCCACCCACCCACCGCCTATGTCTACCCAACGGTATAAATGGGTGCACCACAGTCGATCGGCAGGTCACGTGTGGCAGGGTAAAGTGTGGGTACTGCCCCGCCACCCTACCCTCTTATAAGACATCTGGCCAGTATGTAAAAATTAGGCCAAATACCCTCTAGAGAGGGGCTCTTTAAGAGCACTCTCTCTTGTAGAGGAGGCCCTGCAGTGAGCAGTAGCACGAGCTAGCAATTGCAGGGCTGCGCTTGAATTTTTTTTATGTACATAAATAGAAATGCAGTGTCTTTAAGTGCCCTTGGGGATATGCTTGTGTGCTGTTAACAGGTCCCGGTCAGTAAGCGGTGCATCGACAGGATTAGTCACGAGTCCTCTCAGCAGTCCAAAGGTGAGTCCTCCTGAGTGTGTGTGCATTCGCTTGTTCCATGTTGTGTTCACATCACCCACTCCATCCATGAATATCAAGTGAATACTCAGCAATTGCCCAGTGTATCGTGCTGTCACAGCACACTTGACTTTTCTTTTTTGCTTTCTGATGATAAGTGACAATGTATGGCATCCCAAGCGAGCATGCCAGTTGTGTTTTGATTGTCATCTCATTGCTAACCACATTCTCTTCTTTCTTGTCCTCTTCCTCGCACATCATGACCCTTGTGTGCTTATCCTATTTTGATCACGGCTTGAAAATTTCATTTTCTCTTCCAACGTCATGGCATTGCTTGGATTGATTCCTGGTTGGAATTTTACCTCTGAGAGTCCTATTTGAAAAATTTCTCTCTCCTGTTTGAATTTTTTTTTCCCGCTTCATCATGACGATGTCTTTTCCTGGTTGATTTCCCCCCCACAAATTCCCTTTATTGCCTGAAATTTTGTTTTTTTGTGTTTCCTACTTAATTAATCCTGAACAAATTTGACATTTTTACGAAAATTGCCTATGACCCTAATTTTTCCTTCTAAAAATTTTCCTTCCGACTAATCCTTGCATATATATCGCTCCTCTGGGAGCCTTCTCCTCTGGACTGCCCCTTGCTTATGATTACCCATTATTATTATTATTACTCCTTCCCCTTGCGCATGAACTGCCACCACCGCCACCGTAGTCGGGATGGCGGTCTCCCCACCTGTTCCCCGATGCCAACTCCAGATCCCAGAGCACGTCCGACGCGGACGACGGCGGAGACGTTTCCCTCTCCAGGAGGGTCTCGCTCTCCGACCCCAAAACGCAGACCCTCCCGAACAAAGCGCGCAAGGCGGAGCGCCCCGTGCACATGGTTCTCTCGAACCCTCTGCCCGCGGGCAACCCCGCTGACGTGGCCGCCGACGCCGGCCGTAGCCCGTCGCACAGCGCCCCCCCACCTCTGCCCCCGCCGCCGGCGAACCCCCGCCTCACTAACCCCCGGTCTATCCCCGTCATACAGGTGACACCCCACCCTTCCCCTCGAGGCAGCCCCCTCCCCACCCCCAAGGGCACGCCCCACCACACCCCCAGGGACAGCCCGGCCGGCACGCCGAGCCCCACGCCGCCCTCGAGCCCCAGCGTGGGCGGCGCCCCGTGGCGTGCACGCCTCCACTCCTTCAAGCACACCTTCCTCGGCTCGCCCAGGTTCCACCGCAGGAAGCTGCAAGGTGCCGCACTCCGGCTGCTGCTGCTGCTGCTGCTGCTCCCCTGCCGTGAATGCCGCCGCATGTGCACGTGCGCGTGCACGTTTCTGTGTGTGTGTGTGCGTGCGTGTAGCGGTGGTGTAGCGGTGGTGTAGCGGTTAGCGCTACGCTGCGCTACGACGCCGGCGACCCGAATTCGATTCCCGCTCACGGCTAACACCAAAGTGACGATTATCTGAACCGGTCCGGGGCCTCCTCCCCTAGGTCGACTCGGCCTCAAATGAGTACCTGGTGCGGTGTGTAGACATCGCCACTGGGGAGACGAAGGCGTTCGGGCGTGGTGCTGGCCACCCACCCCCTCGTGTACCGTTCCGGCCTTCATAGGTGCTCGCTAACCGCACTTGCCCCTACAGTCTGTTAAGGCTATACGGGGGATCTTTGTCTTTGTTTCGGGCAACAAGCACCAAACGCAGATGGTGCACGCTGTGCTTTGAACTACGCTCGCACACGTGCGCGTGGGATCCGGTATTTCGGAGTGAAAATAACTTGAGATGCGTTTTTGGTGAAAGTGGGCTCGCATTACAGGCATATATTGGTGCAGTGATTAATCGATCATTGTTGGTTATTATGCTCACAATATGTGCATCAAATTTGCGTGCGTGAGATTGTGTTACTCGTGGTGGTATGCAATTTCCATGCGATGGTGGAGTGGCCGAGTGCTGTGCTAGGAACCTGACCACACCTGAGTGTGATTCGAGGCCACAAATAATATCAGCGTGCAGTGGTTTCTGAACATTCAGCAACCCATGTTCCCAGTGTAGTGAAGTATGGTCAAATAATCTCCCGTGATATACATGGTATGGAGAGACTTTCATCCAGCAGCGGATTTACTTGGGCCTTTGCATTATTGGGTATTACATATGTATATCATTTACTGTTCCGCGCCTCCACTTAGCACAGTTGGCTACGTATGGGTGCAAAAGAAGTTCAACATATATTCATCACGTTTAAACCAATGGGGTGAACAAAACTGAACAAATGGCAACGGAAACTAAAACGACAAACAATACTAACTTTTTTAGTGGAAGTTCTGTGGGGGAGTGAGTCGGTGCATGCCTATTATGTAACGAAAGGGTGCCCACTGGGACACAGATATACAGGTCCCCTTTGCAGAATGACCCACGTGACTGTCCGAAACTGTTCTTTCACTCTTTAGTTGTAAGTTCCAACGGCAGAAAATTGACCCGTGTTTCGCATTGACTTCTGATGATGCTCTGGAGAAAAAAGAATATGAAATAGCATTTACTGCGAGTGGGAATCTTTTTTTAAAGGTATACTTTTTTTCTGCTGCAAGTTTGGACTGCTGTAAAAAGCGGACGGTCTGCTTGAAATGGTTTGTGAAGTAATACTAGGGCTGCCAGATTGTTTTGGGGGTGGCCAAACATTTGTGAAAATTAACTTACTAAAGTGCCCTACTTGTCATACGGGAGCCCGCAAAAGCAGAGACTTGTTTTCTTTTGTAAAATTGTTTTTTCTGATTCGCATTGCAACAACGGCTTTCATGAGTAACGCCCAGTCACGGACAAAATTGCCCAATCTTCCATCCCTAAAATAACACCTGCACACACGGAGACCAGCAACGCTTCCTCTTTCTCTTTCAGTTCCTACTCCCGAAGAGATGTCAAGTCTGACCCCCGAGTCATCCCCAGAGTTAGTAACTTTTAAAGCACTTACCTACGTGCCTCTTCACGCATTTTGTATTACTATCTTATCTGTCATTTACAACTGTAATGGCCATGGTGCAAAATTGCGCACGGTTGTTGGTTCATTCTTTTGTACAAATCGACATATTTTTCGTGAGATTCTCTGCCCCCCCCCCCCACGACTATTTTTTAAGTTCCACATCTTCTCCGCAGGCTCGCGAAAAAGTCATGGTTTGGGAACTTCATTAATGCGGAGAAGGAGGAGCAGATATTTGTCGTGATCAAGGACAAGCCCATCAGCTCCATCAAGGCCGACATCGTGCATGCCTTCCTCTCGGTCAGTCTGCCAGGTGGAACTGTGTGCGTTGGAACAGCCACGTCTCCTCGGCTTTCCGTGATCGGTCCTCATGCCTCTTAACCCTTTCCCGTTCCGATCACGTACGTTCCGATGACGTACGTGTACCCATACGTCATCAGTTTCATTCCGATGATGTATGCGCATAAAGTGTCTGGAGATGTGGCTGCATATATACTCTGTAGATAAGTAAATAGGACTGCATTGTAAAAAAAAATTATCATGAGGGGGGACGAATGCATTGCATTCTTGTTAATTGCGCTTTTGCCATACAGTATCGTCCGTGCGTTTAGAATTGAGACCTAGAAAAACATCGGTGCCTTGGCTTGGAATGAAGGCCCTGTTCCATGCGTTTCAATTTGTGCCGCAAAAGCGCCACAGTAACATCCAAGTTTACACACAGACGTTTGATAAATAATTAAACAAAAACTAATAAGAAGCATCTTCCAGATTTTCTGTCGGGTCCGATGACATTTTTTTGTTCATAAAAATGATTCACCGTTTGTGTGTGACTCACGTATTACCTCATTGAAAGCCTTTAATAGTCGTAAATCAGCCTATACCAATATCAGCCTGGTTCAGTAGCAGGGAGGGGGAGAGGGTTAAAACAAGATCTGTAGCAATTAGGGTGCAAGTCAATCACATTGACTTTCATTTTACTTCCCAGCGTGAATGAAATACGCTTGCTTGGTGCGTACGCATGCACTGTGTCCGTCCACCCCCCATCCCGAATTTTAGATTCCGAGCCTGAGTCACAGCGTGCTGTCGCAAACGAGTTTCCGGGCAGAATATAAGTCCGCTGGGAGCCCCGTGGTTTTCCAGAAGCCCGTCAAGTTCCAGGTGGACATCACCTACTCAGAGGGCAACCCCGGCCTAAAGGAGACGGGGATTTACTCCGTCACCTTCACCCTCATGTCAGGTATCTGAGCAGCACAGCCATGCGCATCCTCATCCCAGCCAATTTCACCGCTACAATTCTTTTCATCCGACTGCAGTTCTGCCCGGGTCGGGCTGTGTGCTTGGGCGGATTCTTCTCTCAAGCTTTTGCCGTGCATTGCTCACTGGGGGCATCTTTCAGGACTTCACAGCTCCCTTCAGTTTACAGCTCCTTCAGGAATTCGCAACTCCTGACGATGTAGTGCAGAGCACAACCCAAAAAAACCACGCTTGCATTTCAAGCGTCTGCAAAAAAAACACACTACATGTTAAAGTCCAATTGTTTTGACTTGAGATTATAATGACCTTATGTTTGTGGTTATTATTTAATAAGAAGAATTTCATTTTATATTGCGTCATTCATGAAATTGCATCTCATAACACTGCACATCAATGAGCCAGTCCCTTACACAGATAATACAAAAACAAAACCCCACACATCTTGGCAAATCAAAAACTGAAAGATGAATACGTACATAATGAGAGAGGAAAACATGCACACCACAAGAAAATGATCATCACACCGAAAATAACTTCAAATGACGCGGCATAATTATTCAGTACACTCATAAAAGTATCACCGCCTTATTTATGATGGAATTGTAAATAATCTCATTGTGCTGTTGTTGTGGAGTGTTATAAATAATATAATACATGGTCCAGTAACTTATTATATCGGTTAAAACACGAACTGTAAATGTTTATTTTGTATTAATGTTTTTATATGTTCACTGCAACTATATGATCATAATATTTCATTTCATAAAATGTTTTTGCCATGACGGATGTAAAAAAATTCGTAGACTTACCCAAAAAAAAGTTTCTGTTTGTCTCTCCACGCAAGTCAATTAGCTCATTTAACCAGCCTCACTAGCTGACGAAATCCAAAAGATCATAATTGGTCCAGAGTTTGCTTGCTTAAATAAATACTTCTCGTTCATATTGATCTGGAAAGCATATAGACTGACTATAAAATAAAATATGTTACGTGGGTAGACAACAAGTCTATTTATTTACTGTTTTATTCGTCATTAGACCTCCTTTGCCAGTACCAAAATGTAATAATAGGGTTTTTACCCTTTTTCTGGCAACAAAACTGAAACCTTTTTACAAGGATTTTTCCCCTTTTTTGCCTGAAAAAAAGGGAAAAACCCTATTATTACATTTTGGTACAGGCAAAAGAGGTCTAATGATGTAGACGCTCTCCCCGAGCCCTCATTACTTTGATAGTGCATTGTCTTTGAGCTGTATGCCTTTTGGCGTCATCTGGTCGAGCACCAATTGGGGTGAGGCTCAAAAGAAAGCCATCCCTTGGTGTGGACCAATCAGTTTCAAGGACAATGCATATATTATCATAGTATGTTTTTTGTTTGCAGGTATTGTGGTTAATGCAGACATGAATCCTTGTAAAAAGGTTTCAGCTTTTTTTGCCAGAAAAAAGGGGAAAACCCCTATTATTATTGTTTTATTCGTGTTAGTTGTCATGGAACTATTGTTGTGAATTATTTATCACATGCAGCTGGCAAGGTTCTTTTTTTATGGAAACGTCCATATGGTTGAGGGTAAGTCACTACACGAGTGTCAAAATGATGTCACATTGGTGTTGAAGATTAATGCCGGTGTAACGTCTGCATTTGCTCAGGTCCCAGCAGGAGGTTCAAGAAGGTTGTGGAGATCATCCAGGCACAGCTGGTGAACTCGCACGACCAACCGCTGGTGCAGCAGCTCGCAGGTAGTCACCTGCCCTCTGGCTGAGTCTGGGGGGCCCAAAACGGTGGGGGTGTGGGCAGCCTCATTCGTGCTTATTGTGGCTGGCTGCCTGTTGATTGGGGACCCGGTAAAAGTTCACAAATCCCACTCTGCTCGCCAATAACCACCACCCGCCCATCCACACTAGCGATGTCAGTTGTTTAATTCATTAACATTGAAAGTCGAGAGCCAAATCTGACTGTGGTTCACGGTAAAGGATCGTTTATTTCAGGGAACACCTTAAATGTAAATGAAAAAAAACACCATGTGGCCTTGTGTAATGCATGCAGTTATTTAGAAAAAAATAATTGCTACAATGTTAGCTTCATGTTGCTGAATGTATTTGCAGAATACAGAATTCACTATTGCGGTGTGATACAGACTTGATCAAAGATTAGAAGTATTTATTTATTGAGTTCGTTTTCAGATAATTTCACCACCTGAATTGGTCATGTTATTAGGGTACCTCATTTACACTTGAAGGTGTGCTGTTTAAACGGAGGGGCTCGCTCACCCTCTAGTGGCAATGTTAGGTAGCACGCATACAAAGCTTGTCGAATGATTGAATGCCACATACGAGGAGCGTCCTGGAAAAAAAACTTGATAACCCTCATACATATGTTTAGATAGCCAATGCTGGTTTCATAAGATAATCCGCTTTTAGAAAAAATATATTTTTTGTATTATCTTCCTACAAAGGGCCGCACATTGAACTTAATAATATAATCCAACCTACTGTCGACAAACCCTCCTTTCTGGATGATAAACATTTGTTGCCCATCATTTTTTTTTATCCTGAATGCCCCTAAATTGCTGTGGGGGATATGTTTTAATCGTGATATCAAATAGTTGTTTTGTTATGGTCACCGTCCCGTGTGTAAAGCATTGGTGATTTTGAGGCTTTGTGTTGCTCTCGGCTTATGAGGAGCAGTGCGTATTTCAGACGAGAAGAATGCCAAGGGTCCACAGACGCCCGGCACCCCGTCCCGGAACAAGCGCAACGAGATCGAATCGAGTCCCAAGATCGACGTGAAACCGCCAGCTGCGAAAGAGAAAGTCTAGTTGCACGGAGGGGTGGATGGGAAAAAATAAATAGTCGAAGCGTGCTCGCAACTCGTGCGCACAGCACACGAGCGACGGCTGTAAATAAGGTGCTCTGTCGAACCACCACCGTCTTTCTACCTGCAGGTGTAGATATGCAACCCCCGTCCTGTATCTAAAGGCATACAAATGTATCACGAGCGAGAACAGTATAAAAGCGTTCTTTTTCCCGATGCATTGAATTCAATGCCTGCCAAGAAAATGCGTGGAAGCTTTGTGTCAACTTCAATCGTATGCACAGTTTTTACAGTAATTGCCCGACTCCTTTTTGCTGTATTTACATAAAGTAGGATGTAGCGTTTTGTTGGGGTTTTTTTGTTTACTTTATTTATTCGAAGTCGGTTTGTTTATGCGAAGCCAAGTTAATGTAGCATCCAGCTGCACAGTGTCTGTGCATACACAGGTGTCCACCACTACCCATGATCCTTTGCGTTGTCGTTTATTTATTTGTACGTGATTCTGAGTTACTCACCCACATGAAAAAAAAATTGTGATCTTTGGCCATGGTAGGAAAAAAGTACATTTTTTTAAACAATCAGTTGAATGGGTACACAAATACTCGCACTCTCTTCAAAATGTGTGTAAATTGCCTTAGAGTGTGCAACACAAAAATGGGTATTTTTTTCTGTTTTCAAAGTGTGGCTTTTAAGAGGGCGAGTAAGATAATGATGGCCATTTTACCCTAAATCGAAGCTTTAGTTGCTGACAAAAAAATAAAACAAAGACAAAAAATGACAAAACGTATATATGTATACACAAAAGGAAAAAAAAAACTAGATTAATGTTTTTTGCTGCAGGGCAAACTCAAAGTATGCAAAAGTATATTGTAAAAAGAACCAACTAGTTTGTATATCATCCCATTCCACTGCTGGCTTAGTTGTATGGTCATATTTGCTCTTTTTTTGTTGGACTTAGTTGCACTTTATTAAGATCTTTGATGTGACAGAAGTTAAAGACTCCCCCCCCGCCCCTCCGCCCACCTCGTTTTCTCCCCTCCACTACCGCCCCTCACCTCTCATTGTAAGTTTTTTTTATTTTATTTATGATAAATTCAGTGTGTGCAAGTAATATATTAATGTGGTGTATTGTGAAGTCTTGTAGATATTTTTCCACCAGAACGATTTAATTTATTGGGACGGGAAAGGGTGCCGTATATCAATGCAGTGTTACCGGTAGAATTTTACTGCTTTATTTTTACAGTTTTGCTTTTTATCTCTCTCCTTACATTTGCCTTCCAAATTTGGTCCGTGTATTACCATTTATCGTGCTACTGTGAAAATGCTTAAATATTTCTTCCATAATTTATTTCAATTGTTTTACGCGTTTATACCTTCAAAATTAAAACAATATACTGTTTGTATATTAACTAGGTGATGAATCTTGCCGACATCCACGTTAATTATGCATGCTCCCTAGAACATTTTTGTTGCATGATGTCAGTGTTACTTACTCGCCTATATGTGAATGTCAATTTTCTGCTGTTACTCTCCTCTCTCTCTCTCTTGCGGGTCTCCTCCCTGAACTTTACCATCACTGACCAAACTCTCCCCTGCTTCCAGTCAAACCTGACTCCTGGCTTTCCTGTATCACCGCTGCCCTCCCCCTGCCCCCTGCCCCCTCCCCTGCCCCCCGGGTTTCTCCGCTCCCTTTTTTCCCCCACTCCCTTTTTTGCCCCCCCCCCCCTGTCGTCCTTTGGCCTCTTGGAGAGTTTAGCATTTAGACCTTTTTCTATTACACCTGAGCACCGCGGTAGAAATCTGGGGCCGCTTTTATTCCCGCAGGAGGCACTGTTGCACCAGGATTGCAGGAACCCTTCCCAGGCGGGGAATGAATCTCAAGCACAACCTTTTGCAGAAGTGGCTCATTTTGACGTTTTTTGTTGTTGTTGTTGAATCTGTAAGGGTTTCTGCACTCCTTCACCGTTTGACCATCGTTTTACGAGGGTGCGCAGCACTCGCTTGGAACGGCGGCCGCTAAAAAAAAGGGAGACTCCGCTGCAGCTGAATGCTTCAAGTAAAAAAAAGTTTTCTGAACCTAATTTGCAGGGAAAACTACTTTTGGCAATCGCGGCTAAACAGGCGTTTTTCCTCGAACATCGTGCCATTTGTGGCCACTTTGCCCTCTATGTACAGTGATTTTGTCTATTTATTAGTTTATTTATTAGCATATTTAATTTAAACCAATCAGCAGAATCGGTATCCGTTCAAAGGCACTGCAACGGAAATCACTGCTACAAGTATCCCACTTATATATAACCACCGAAATCGCGAATGCAGTGTTGACAATTTGAGCAGAAATCATTGGTCCAGTATCTCCTATGGGAAGTGGCCCAGAAAAGCAATACTTTTGCAATATGGTGTACCCCCATCATCTGAAGTCTGTTGGCTAGAGCAGTCTTACCTTGGCAAGTATGGTGTATGAGATTAATAAAATGTCTTCTTGGTTAAAAAAAACCTAAATTGTGGTCTATTCTTTACTAATATATTATTTTGCATTTTACGTATTCCATTCTATAGAAGGACATAAACGATTCAAGGTGAGGTACATTGTGGAAGTATTATGAGCAATTGAATTATTAAATGTTACGTTTGTTTATTTGCATGCCAAATAGGCTGAGAGTCTAAAAATATATTTCTTATTCTATCAGCACATCAAATAAATCGTTGGAAGTTTATTTGCTTACAGAAACGGGGCAGTGTGATTTGAAGAGCAGTTTTGAGATTATCGCTGACATTGCAAGGATTTTTTGATTGCTCTCAATTGCACATTTCATACAAACGAATCGCTGCTACTCCAAACTACTCCCTCATCAAGTAGCTCAACAAACATGAAATAAAAAAAATAAAACCTTACACTTTTGCAAGTGGACCAAAAAAAAAAACCAGTCACATTTTACAATGAGCTTACAAATATTTCAATGTGTATGCCTACTGACTCAGTACGAAGTCTTATTTTGTCCCCTGCTGTGCTTTTAAAGGTTCGACTATTCGTATTTGCATCACCGAGAGAGAGAGAGCAAAGGACGCGGGCAGAAAATAGGCGTGACTTCGATACCGGTGTGGTGTCTCGTATCCGTATGTGCACAGGAGTCGTGCCTACAGAGTGCCACAAATCCACAGATCTGTCGGTGCGGTTGTTTTAATCGAACCGGGTGAGGCCGTGTTCGACCCTTTAATAACCACCTCGTACGCTTCTCATTTGCTTTTCTTTCATACATTGACGTAGTTTGTGGCTGAGTGAATAAATCAAACATTTGCCTTCACATAGCAGCACGCCTGAACAAGGGACGTGCCTTTAACACAAGTCGGGTAAACCGTTCAGTCAATCCACTGCTGGATGAGGGGGTCCAGCCCACCCCCACACCATGCAGGCAATGTGGATGATTTGACGATGCGACGTGCAGCAACGGGGGGGGGGGAGGAGCGATGGCAGAGCAGTTCGTGCACTGGCAAGCACGGTCGCCGATTGTTGCACGGTTCGAATCCAGTGGCCGACCCACACAATTATTGCTGCAGTGACGACGTTATCAGCTCAGGGGTGGGGGTGGCGGAAATCGTCTCTCGCACGGTCACACCTCGGCTATTATTTCTATCGCGGCCGCCTCTTGCATAATCATCACGACACCGTTACGCTCGCCGTGTGGAACGTTGAACGCTGTAGGGGGCGCTCCCTCTTCGCAAAATTCAGCCACGACAACTCCGTCGCAGTTCAACCTTTTTTTTTAGCCATATAATTTGACGCGTATTTAATGCAATAAATGTCGCAGAAGCGGGAGTTCTTTGTCCCAACGTTCTTTTTTTACTTCAAGTTGCTGTCATTCAAAGCACATCACGGTCCGTTACCTTGATTTACGGGGACGACAAAAACAGTTTGACTTCCAAAACGAAACGGTTGAAAACGCAACTCATGGTGGTGTTTACGGGGGACCCAACTCGTAGCTTTAGCCACCAAGGAGGGCGGGTAGGGGCAATGCACCCCCTGGCCCCCACGTTACTTACCCTCCAGGAGGGTAAATTAGAAAATTCACGGCAAAATGTTTTACTCCATTGGGATTGTACATAGGCAATCATCGCCCCCTCCTTACTGGCAGACTGAATGCTGCAGAGGTGACATGATTAACGCAGTCGTGTACGTTGAACTTGCGGATTAAAACACCCGCAATTCGTTGCATGCGTAAATGAGCTTCAATAATCAATATTCATCGATTAACAATTGCGCTCGTTGTTGTGAGCGTCGCTCCTCTGCCCTCCGCTGTTGTTGGAGGACGACTGCCTTCAACTTGACAGAAGCGGCGTCCTTCGCGAGCCTCCTCTGCAGAGGCCGATCTTGACCACCGCCGGTACCAGTCATCGGCAAGTCAACTCAGCTCCACATCCTGCCGAACCGCATCAGCTCCATCTCTTCTCCAGCCCGTGTCGTGCCGGTTAAGCCCCCCCTCTATGCGGCCAAACAGAAGCTGCTTGGGCATGCGGTGGCTGGGCATGAGCCAGCCAACGCAGCCTTTCCTGCCAGAGGAGTTCACCGATGGGACTTTGCCCAGATCATTCAAGGATTTGTGAGCTCCTCACACAATCCAGCCTGGTTAAACCCAGGATGGATCGTAGGCAGGCCCAGCCTGAATGTTTGAAACCGGCGAAGATGTTCCGTTGGGAGGGGTCCCGCGTTTCGCAAGCATAGAGAAGGGAGGGCATGGCCGTGGCCGAGAAGACCCGAAGCTTTGTGTGGAGCGACAGACCAGGTCGCATCCACACAGCGTTACGTGGTCGGGTGGAGGCGGGTGTACGACACACGACTTAACTCACGCGATCTGACCCAAGAATCAATGGTGAATCGCAGACCCATGACACCCGAAAATTAGACAAAATCGCTTGGTGACACTGGTTTGGCTATGATAAACAAATAATAATAATAATAAACCTTAATGAATGTAAACAATAAAATAATAAAAATATAGAACAATAAAATTCTCCCGACGTTTCGACTGCAACACAAGCAATCATCATTAGGTGTGAAAACCACAAGCAATCACCTGATGATGATTGCTTGTGTTGCAGTCGAAACGTCGTGAGAATTTTTTTTATTATTGTATTGTTTCCCTTCTACGTGACTTTACCGAAAGAACCAAGAATATGAATCCCTGCAGTCACGAAAGCTTTAAAACTTAACGAATGTGTCAATAAATTCTGCAATGTGAAATAGCAAGAAACTACAACCCCTGACGTCATTATTTTTTCTAGGTTAATATCTGCGAATCAAAATGCATGGATTGAACCTAGCATTATTATTCTTGAATTATTGTATGCGTGAGGTAGCTTGGTTGTTTCTGAAAACACGCCACCGAGGTATGAATCCCGCAATTCGCTTTTTGAAAATGGTTTATAATGCATGATGACGTCACGCAATTATGACGCCCACTGAACGCGATGACGTCGAACGTACGCGATGACGCCACCGCGTACGTTTACACGACCACGTGCGCGCAACGACAGCGTTCTGTAACACGTGGCACCCCTGTGTTTGTGTGAGCACCCAAGTGGCTCGGAGCGATGAGAAGCTGAATCCGAAGCCTTTGTAAAGGTGGCAAGATTAAAATCCCGGCATACGGCAAATTGAACGAATAAACGAGCGCGCAATGCAGAAGTCGTCGAACTGTGTGGGTGGATTTGACAACGGCGATCCCTGAAGAGACAGACAAGGAACACTGGGAAGAGAGAGGATTGGAAGAGAGAGAGAGGCATCGATCACCACATTCACCAAACAAGCTGTTCCAGAAGCAACTCACCATTAAAACAAGTCAATTACTGCAAGCAACAGAGCTAACCAGACCATACACTGCCACCGAAGTGGCCCTCAAGGCCACAAATTCCAACAAGGCACCGGGGATAAGATGCGCTGTGTCCTGAATTTCTAAAGCACCTGGGACGATGTGGACAACAATGGCTTACACATCTCTTTGCCGTCATACACAGGGCAGGCATAATCCCAAAAAAAGAAATGGAAGCAAGCGAAAGTCATGGCCATTCCAAAACCCACGAAGCCGCGAGATTTGCCCTCCAGCTACAGGCCTATATCCCTCTTGTCTTCCACCTCCAAGCGGATGGAACGTGCCAAACTTTCCAGACTTTCCCCCATTATCCACCCCCAACTGCCTACCGAGCAAGCCGGGATGTCGAACTGGCCGTAGCTGCTGCTATGAACAGATCGTTACCGTCACCACCTTCATTGAATCTGGTTTCCAGCCTCAGCAGAGAACTGGCACAGCAAGGATTGACTTCTCTACTGCCAATGACACTGTTTGGTGTGATGGCCTGCTGCTGAATATTCTTATCCGAGGACCAAGGCCTGAAATAGCCCAAGCTCAGTTCCCTTTGGAATGTTTTCAATCCAAATGTCAAAGCTGGCAAGATGTCCCTCTTCCTCAGGCATTTGATTATCAGAACATTTTTTTAGAAAGCACTCCCTCCGGCTCTTGACCTCAACATTGACAATTACATTTTACGGCAAGTGGACTTTCTGAATATTTTGGCCAAACAATCTAAGTAACAGATTCATTACAACGTTACAAACATTTTTGTGGAATTTTAACCGGCTGTGAAGAATGAAAATAAGTATGTTCTATATGTGCAATATATGCACCAACATTTTATCATCATTTTAAAAATGTTCACAAATCATTTGCAAAAAAACCCCCATTAATTTTGGAAAATTGCCAAAACATTGAGGGGTAGAGGTGAAACAGCATATGCAGAAAATAATTTAAAAACATAAGGAAATACTATACATTAAAAAAAAACACTTAACACTGCCTTAAAAAACTACAACACATAATTGGCGATGTTTCAGGCAATGAGCCTTCTTCATAGCACGTGTTGTGAAGGGCCATTGCTCAGAGGCAGAGCACTGAGTTTTGTTCATTGTGCTTGGTGCACCGATGCCAATGCAGCATCTCCAAATATTTAGTTTTTATTGACGTATATGTTTTTTGATTTAAAGCTTTCGTGACTGCAGTAATTCATATTCTTAGTTTTTTCGGTAAAGTCACGTTGAAGAGAAACAACAAAATAACAAAATATATATAAAACAATAAAAAAATTCTCACGACGTTTCGACCATAACTCAAACGGTCATCATCAGGTGTGTCGGTTTGCATAAATTTATTTTGAAAACGGCATATTTATTTATTTATATATATAAAAATAACGTTTGCGTCACGCGCAACGATTGGCTGTTTGCCAGGACTAGTCCATCTATTTTTTGAAAAGAGGAGGGGGGAGACGAAATTTGTTTTTATGTATGCTGTCTGAAAGCCACTGTAAGCGTGAACAATCAATCAAGAACTGAAATGATTTATCAAATCTTTCCAATGATTGCTAAGATAGAATCCATCTTCTCGGTTGAAATTGTCTCTGTGTTTGTATATGTGGATAGCCTCATGAACGAATCTCTCATGGAAGCCAGATGGCTTACAAAGAACCTCCGTCTTGGAAAAGTCAATGGCATGTGAGCCTACTGAATTAGAACAATGATCTGCTACGGCCGAGGTGTTGGTCCTACCGTGTTTAAGGTCTGCTTTATGTTCACGAATGCGGTCCGAGATATGGCGTTTGGTTTCTCCAATGTAACTACTACCACAGAGGCAACTTAGTTTGTAGACACCAGGGTATTGTATGTCCGGAATCACATCTTTTACAGACGGAACCAGATCACGGATTTTATGTAATGTGTTGAAACGGACCTGGATCTTGTGTTTATTCAAGATTTTGGAGATCTTTTTTGTGATCCCAGCAATGTAGGGTAAAGTGATGGTTTTGAAAGGCTCCTCAAGAGGGTTCTTCTTCATGGTTTGAGTGATAGCTTTGCGGATTGTATAGTCGGAGTAACCATTAGCCCTAAGAGCTTGGTGTACGTGCTTGAGTTCACTGCTTATGTGTTCCTGGTCGGATATGCATTGGGCTCTATGATACAAACACAGAGACAATTTCAACCGAGAAGATGGATTCTATCTTAGCAATCATTGGAAAGATTTGATAAATCATTTCAGTTCTTGATTGATTGTTCACGCTTACAGTGGCTTTCAGACAGCATACATAAAAACAAATTTCGTCTCCCCCCTCCTCTTTTCAAAAAATAGATGGACTAGTCCTGGCAAACAGCCAATCGTTGCGCGTGACGCAAACGTTATTTTTATATATATATAAATAAATAAATATGCCGTTTTCAAAATAAATTTATGCAAACCGACACACCTGATGATGACCGTTTGAGTTATGGTCGAAACGTCGTGAGAATTTTTTTATTGTTTTATATATATTTTGTTATTTTGTTGTTTCTCTTCAACGTGACTTTACCGAAAAAACTAAGAATATGTATATGTTTTTGTTCAAAAGTGCTCTTTTTGTACGAACGTGGGAAAACCCCAACCGTTTCCAAAAGTGTTACGAGCGCTATACCAGTATATGTACAACATGAAATATGTAACTTGAATTTCTTCCCAGATTTTTATGTAAAAAGGCAAAAAAATCTTATTTTGAGTCAAAATTGCATTAAGTTCATGTGGTCCATGCAACAACAAAAAAAATTCTCACTAAACTGGGTCCAATAAAAAATGCACCTCACTTCTTGGGAAAAATAAATTGGATGATTTAAATGAATGTGTTGTATATTCTGTACGTGCAGCAACAATTGTAAAAATAAAACTTTACATTGCGCGCCACCATATTGACAACTTTTTTTGAAATGAGATGAAAAATGTAGGTTTCGAACACAGACGTACATTTTTGTGGACATCGCCATCAGCCATGATCAATCCACTGCTGGATGAAGGCCTTCTCCAAAAACCTCCGTCGCCATCTCACGATCCTGCGATGTAGTAATCCACCTCGCATCTGCATGCCAGATGGTTTAAATCACTCCATAAATGTAGAGATCAATGCAATGAATACCCCAGTTGTGATGTTGATTATTTCAGCCATGCCAATACGTTTAACGGTGTCTACATATATTATGTTTTCATCAACATTACAAATACCGAATGCAAACTGTTGCAGTATAAGCGAAAGTCAATTTGCATTGTGTTTTGCTCAAATAATAAAATATATATCAAGAATTTAAAATGCAAAAGGCTCTTGACTTAAAAAAAAAAATCTCCAAATGTCAATGCATATGCATTTGTGCATATGTCGGTCTGTTATATACAAGACAAATCCTTTGCGGGATAGGATTTATTGATATGTAATTTAAGACCCATGCTCACTGAAATTTGGTGTGCCGTAATTCCATAATTTTACATTTTCACAGCTATGCAGGAAAATTACAACAAAACACTCGTATGTTGTGCTTTATATGTAACTTTATTGTACAATAAACCACTCACAGCAGTAGTTTTCGTTTAAAAATATAACCATTACCATTTCGTAAAGCGAGTCCATTTACAGTAATTAAAATTGCTATAGTTTGAGAAGGTGTAAGAAAGGCAGTGCAAATTAACAACGACGATAAGAGATATGTCGAATTTGCGGATAAAATGGAAAATAAGCTAACTTTAAAACACCGAACAGAATTAAAATTGAACAAAAAAAGCAACAGTACGTGTTTTAAATACCTTAAAAATATATATACAAATGCCGGAAGACCTACTTGCAAATTAAATCTTGAGACCAAGTAGAACTGCAGTTGGAATTCATACTGCTCACATTTCAGGCAAGAAAAAGGTTCTGGACAAGTTCAAGCTTAAACTTCGCAGTCTCGGTGATGCCACAATCCCAAGCAGTGTGTTTCCTTGGTATAAAACAATGCATAACTTAACCCAACCGGCTCGGTGTCTTATTACGCAGTAACAATGGCTTTGGTTCGAACCTCAGTAAAGTGCTTGCACATTTTCAAAAATGCACACAAGAGCATGATTGCAAGTACAGCATAATCGCACGACATTCATTCGTTTAGGAGCGAGTTTTGTTTTGCTTGTTATAGAAACAACTTACAAAGGGCGACGCTCCTCTCAACCACTGAAGGAGACGGCCTATCGAGTGCTAACCGGCCGTAGACGCGGTGGGTTTCTCCGGGCTCCCGTGTCCCCTCCAACGTCCCAAACACTCTTCTCATGGAATCATCGGTCAAACATCTCCCACTGCAGGGAACCCTCCCCCAAAGAGAGGGTCTTCAGGTCAGCAAGGCTTTCCTACGTAAATAATTGGCATTGCCGTTACTACTTGCCATTTAGAAATGCCGTTTCATTAATATTTCCAGAAGTGACGTTAATATTGGATCCAGCATGCCTCGACGTATCTGCAGTACACTGCAAGTGTCACATTGGTTAAATAAATGATAATGCGACTGTGAACCCACCACTGCCAAGCTACAGTTCTACGTAATGTCAGTGGCATAACACGGCTGGCATGGGCTCAGGTGTGCATGGAAAGAAATGGGGGTCTAATTCTTCCTTATCCCACCATTCGTAGCCCGGTGCCTGGGGGCCCTGCCAGCCCGTGGGTCTCCGTGCAGTTGCACCGCCTGCACACTGGGCAGCTGTGGCCCGCTGTCCACGACAGTAGTTGTTTCTGCAGTGGCGAGAGGTGCTGTTGTTGAAGCGGTCGTGAGAGTGGAACTCAACGAGGAGCTATCTGCCAGTTCCAGGAGGTCATCGGGTGCTTCCTGCAAACCTCTCCCCTTGCCACCCGGCTCGTGATTCACTCTCCCCACACACGCTCCCTGTGGAACCGTGGCAAGCGGCAACAAGCGGCGAATACAATTGCGCGGCGCTTGAGAAAAAGTGTGGGACCAATAATTTTTCCGTTGCTGAAGGGTGGTCTATTTTGTGCTTTTTACTGCAGCTTTTTTGCATGACAAAACAAGAAGTTACATAAATGAAACGATCAATTGAAATCCTACTTTGCATTGTGAATGCAGAAAGCAAAACGGATATTTGTTGACCTCTGGGAGGAGCATTCCATTCGCTGCCCATCAATATTAGTTCAAGATTTCACCTGCAACCAGAAATGCCCAGGTTCATCAAATACGATGATGATTATTAGGATGATGAATAAGTTTTGCAGGTATAACGAGCGTGACCTTTAAGCTGCGTCCGGTTAAGGCTTCACAACCGAGAGATGGTGATGCGAGAAGGATTTGGGGGGCAGTCACTCGCAGGTTCTGGGAGAAGCAAGTCAGTAGAAGCAGGTCATCTTACAGGAGTTGCCTGGCCAGCGCTCACACTTGAACAGATAAACGCACGACGGAAATTTCCCGGCCGTCCGTCTCGACTTCGCGATTGCGGTTTTTGTGCTCCCATCATCTCTCCTTGCCGTGGTTGCGAGCGATGCGCGCGTTGCACAGGGCTTCCACCAGGTCGTCAAGCCCCGCGGCCTCCTTGGGCTCCAGGAGGTTGAACTCGCGCGCGAAGCACACAAAGTGGCTGAACACGGAGTTGAGGTGGCCGTGGAGGTCCAGGCACACCGTCTCGCGGAAGTGACACCAGTAGATGTGCGCAATCACATGGTACAGCAGCCGGAAGAACTTGCGCACCACCGCTTCGAACGAGTTCGGGAAGTCCCGGCCTGAGGCAGGGGAGGGGAACGCAATGCGGCAATCGCTGCACGTCAGTCAATCGATCGTCGACGCCGCGGCCGCCCGAGGTAAGCTGCCCAATAATCTGTTTGCCCAGCTCTCCGAGAGGTTTTCGAGTTGCACCACGTATTGTTCGCCATGATAGCCGTCCGCGAGCTATACAGTCACAACCGTGAAATGCTACGCGGTAGTAATGGTTCGCCGGTTACTTTGTTGACGAGGTTAATTAACTTGCACCCTACTGGAATATGAGGATCTCTTTTGGAATCACCAACATGACCAAATTACCATAAATGTGCCCACTCTCTTTACATCTGGAAAGCTTAGAAAAGTGGAGCCTCATTAATACTCAGATCGCAGACTGCACCTGGAAATACCAGGCGCAGTCAGCTTGAGCCGAGAGACGGCCATGAGATGGCAGTAAACAAATGAATTCTTGAATGTCTGCACGGGACTACTAGTGAATGTTCCAGACCATTCCAGTTTCCTCCCACATGCCAAACATTAATTACAAAAAGTGGTCAAACATCGTATTGCAGGACCCTCCTCCAAAAACATGTCTTGACGCTCAAATTTTTGTTCCCTGGATAAATAGAGGGCATTAAATAATGAGCATTGCATTACTTATTCACTGCCAAAGGGCTATAACATTCGCTCTCCCCCACTTGCAGTACCAGTGGCACGACGATACCACAATGATTTGAGTGCAAAGCTTCGTCATGCGCCCGCAAGGTCCAAACACAATCGTCCAAGCTCACCGTATTTTGTCGGGAAAACAGATTCATCGGTGATCGTCGTCTGGATGCACGACATGACGTAGTCGACGTACTGTGGACCCGTGCACTTCACCTTCTTCCCCCTCTCATCCTGCCAGAAGTATTGTCTGCAACACGAAGGTAACTCTGTTGTTACCGAACACCTATTTTCATTTATGGAAAAATAAGAATCAGATTTAACCCTCTGGCAATCAAACTTAGTGTGAAGATGTTCAGACACCAAATAGATACCCGTTTAACGGCAAAGGTCCCATGAATATAACTGCTCAACCCGAGCTATTAATACTTTCATACTTGCTTTGCCTTTGTACTGTTCGACTGTTTGGCGCTCTCTGATCTAACACTGGTAAGATTAGGCCATAAAGAAGGCTCTCGGTGTAGGCCAATCGGTTTCAAAGACAATCAATATATTATCAGAGCATGTTTCTTTGCAAGTTTTGCCCACAATGTGTGGTCAATGCAGACTTGATGCCTTGAAAAGGGGGTTTTCTATTTGGTGTTTGAACATCTCAACAATTAATTTTATTGCCAGCAAAAGGAAAAGAAGCCCCATTCTCGTTTTTTTCTTCTCTCTCATAATTTCGATACTGGAAAAATGTCTCAGACCTATTCTATTGCAGTCTCAACACATGGGAGAGACGCAATAACATCTCCATCGATTTGCACAGCAGGAAGTTAAATGTGCGCTGCACGGATTGTAAAGCGGTACACACACACACACAGACATGGCCACTTGCGCGCTCACACATATACACGTAATTATAAACATGTAGCCATAGTGTAGTATTTTCCACATCTCTACCCTGGAAATACGTGGGGCATAAAATGATTGCATTTGACAACTCGGCTTTGAAATGAGGCAGCCCAGAGAGCGTGTGGGAATCAACCCTACAGTTTCACATTCCAGAGATCAAGTAAGGCATGTGGCCCAACTTTGAGTTCACACATGGAGTTGTTCTCATTTACACACCATTGGGCTTCAAAAGGTATTCGGCTACCATTTTATAGTAGCCCTTTGAGTGCGAAGATCAGAAAATGGAACATTATAAGGTCGATAAAAGAACGCACACCCATTAAAGGAATGTTGGTAACCTGTGTTAGAGAAAGAGCTCTCGATGGCAATACGTTGACCCAAACTATCTAAAGTACGTACAGCCCTTTTGCCCATCCACTGCTGGATTAGGGTCACCATCCATGCTGGGCAGGTCGTGGGAGTTATTTGACCATACTTCACCATGCTGGTCAGTGCAGGTTGGCAAAGACTGGGGAGTATATGCAAGTGCATAGAACAACAGTACAGCAATGGCGTTTGTTGCACTGGCCTCTCCGACACTAGCATCTTGTTTTATACGCATGTTCGCCCATTCGAGTCATATCCAGGCTCAGCCCTGCTTAGCTTCTGAGATCAGGAACATTCTGGTTGATTTGCGATTGGAAATTGATTCAACAGGACTATTTTTTTTACCAAACAAAAACTACTCATAAATAACGGCAGTATTGAACTTCTTTCTGGTGCAATATGCCTATTTATACAGTTAAAGTTGTTCATTTGTGTTCTCAAAGAACAATTTTTGTCTGCCCCCCCCCCCCCCCCTCGCGTGTTCTGTTCCATTGTTGCCTGTTCCTCCGTATGAACAACTTTGTTGTTCATATTCTTAGTTCTTTCGGTAAAGTCACGTTGAAGGGAAACAATAAAATAATACAATATTATTTTATGAGAATTTTTATTGTTTTGTATATATTGTATTATTTTATTGTTTCCCTTCAACGTGACTTTACCGAAAGAACTAAGAATATGAATTACTGCAGTCACGAAAGCTTTAAATCAAAATTTAACTTTGTTGTTGTTCTTCTTGTTCTGTGCTGATGATGTACCACGGATCCCCCTTGCAGACGTAGCTCGTTAAATGGCTAAATCGGACTTTCCGTGCAACAAACACGGATCAAATTATTTTTTGAAATGCGAGCATATTGGCAGCCACGTTTTAAAGGCGGCACATGCCTTCCACACCCCAACCACCCTTACGCAATTGCGCGAGGATTAATATCGTCCGATTCTGCCCGAATCGGCAGCCTGGAAAATACTCCCACACCCGGCACACCGCATCCAGTATACTCGTCGCTACGCCTGCGGCTCCTCCTTAGGTCGCGTGCAATCTACTCCAGTTTACCGGCGGTGAGAAATTAAGCGCTGGCTGCGCGTGCGTATTTTTAGATATTGCTGTCACCAACTGTGACCCTGTGAGCGTGCGTGGAATTTGAGGGCACCCTGGAGGAGCGGCGTTTTGGATTTCGGCGAGTGTTCAAGGGACGGGGTGGGAGAGGGGGGGGGATGGAAGGAGAGCGCGGGAAGGGCAAGTGGGGGGAGGGTGGAGGCCAGGAAGGACTTACACGTTGCAGGCCGTCATGAGCGGGCAGGTTTCCGCTGTGCAGAATTCCGAGATGGCGCTGTACTGCAGGTTCACGTGTCCAAAGAATGTTGTAACTGCGTGCCAAGGTACACCGCAGTCCAGCCGTAAGAGGACAAAAAAAAAACACCTTCACCGTTTCATTCGATCACGCTAAGGGTATTACTTTAAGCAAATATATCAACTTTTGTTAATTTGATTATTTCAACAGTGTTGATAGAGCCATACAAAACACCTCGAATAATAATCATTTATAACATTGTATTCAATGACAAGTATGCCAGAAAATGCTTAGTACAGCTGACAATTTACAGGATTGTACATAGTAGAATTAAATTCATTGAAATTTTCTGAAACATTGCATTGTATTAACCGATTATCAGTTACGTTTACAAATAAGTCACCCACTAAAAAAAGAATCGACGAATCGTCATAGTTGGGCATCACAATTTTACTCAACAATGAAGTTGATTTTTGTTCTCACATTGCGGTGAATGCCAGTGGCATCGAGTGGCTGCAGTCGTGATTTGAACCAATCACACAATGTACAACTTACAGCAGAACCTCCTCTTAGCGACGGTAATTTGGTTCCATGAAACCGGTCGTTAAGAGAGTATAGGAAGTACACCTTAAAGGCTGAATTCGTTCCGATAGCATCGAAAGTTACCCTTTTTAACCCCAAAAATGTGCTTTATCATATTTAAACAACGGATATTAATACATAAAAATACTAACGACAGTATAAACCCTTCATATTAAAAGAAACATGGTTAATCAATGCATTAAGTAATATTTACTGTACCTATGTAGTGACATAGAATTGATCGCCAAGTAGCATAGCGATGGGTACTGGCAGGGAAGGGGATCTATAGCTTAAAGCAGCTCTGACTGACAGCAGGCCACGGTGATAGACCCGAGAGGGATCTAGGGGAAAGGTCACGGAAGGGACACGTCAGGAGCCCGATAGTAGGTTCCAGAAGGGGGGCGGTGGCCGGGGTGTAGCGAGGCCACGCTAACAGAATAAAAGGGGACCCCGAGCGGGAGCTCGAGGCTGTCGTTTGGAGTGGGATCCCCGTCTTCGTCGTTGCTGCTGAAGATTGTCACCATTGCTGCCGTCGCCTCGTGCCTTCGTCGCTGTGGTCTCATCTGATATATTGTGCTGCGAGACGTAGTTGGCGGTCTAGGTTCAGCGCCGTCAGTGTCAGACGGCCAGCGTTGTGTTGTCGGCTCGCAACCAGTGTAGAGTTGCATATAAGCGGGAGACAGAGAGTGTGTAACGGTGGAGGGTGTATTGTATAAAGTGTACAAAGTGTGCTCGGTGTTAAATTAAAGAATTGCCTCCAAGAACTTACGTCTCCAAGTCAGTCACTTCACTTACAACAGCCCGTCGTTAACAGGGGAATGGTCGGTAAGTGCACACATTGGGCTCTATGGAGGCACTACACTACAGTACTATACACTACACTATACACTACACTATACACTACTATACACTACAAGACACTACAAGACACTACTATACACTATAAGACACTACTATACACTACTATACACTACTATACACTACTATACACTACTATACACTACACACTGGGCTCTATGGAGGCACTACACTATACACTACAAGACACTAATATACACTATACACTACACTATACACTACACCAAGGGCTCTATGGAGGTACTACACTATACACTACAAGACACTACACTACTATACACTATACACTACACACTGGGCTCTATAGAGGCACTACACTACTATACACTACACTATACACTACAAGACACTACTATACACTACACGACACTACTATACACTATACACTACACATTGGGATCTATGGAGGCACTACACTACTATACACTACAAGACACTACAATACACTATACACTACAATACACTATACACTACACATTGGGCTCTATGAGGGCCGTCGTTAAGCGATTAATCGTTAACAGAGGTGAACGTTAACAGGGGTTTCTACTGTATGCAGACCTAACAACAACAAAAAACATCGACTCAGATCAACAGAATTCCATACACATGTAATTATATTCTTGGTTCTTTCGGTAAAGTCACGTACAAGGGAAACAATAAAAATATAAAACAATAAAATTCTCACGAGGTTTCGACTGCAACACAAGCAATCATCATCAGGTGTGAAAACCACAGCAAGAAAATTTGAAAAAAGTGCGTTTTTTTTCTTCAAATTTTCTTGCTGTGGTTTTCACACCTGATGATGATTGCTTGTGTTGCGGTCGAAACGTCGTGAGAATTTTATTGTTTTATAATTTTATTATTTTATTGTTTCCCTTCTACGTGACTTTACCGAAAGAACCAAGAATATGAATCCCTGCAGTCACGAAAGCTTTAAATCACATTTCATTAGTTCAAGAATGTTATCTTAATCTACGTATTGTTCCCCCCCTCCTTCCCGCCTAAATTTACTACTTTAATATTACAGCTTCTGTCCTAGGACGGGCTAACAAGCTAGTTATAAAATAAAGCGCACGTAATAATGAATTAAGGTGATGTATATACGGACTCTGCGAGAGAGTGGCTTAATTCAGATTAGGATTGAACCACGAATGAGGCGATTGACGAAACGCCCGTTAGCATATTGTGCTTGTGATAGTCAATGTTAATTAGTGTGTATTCAATGGCTCCCACTTCCTAAGTCAATATACTTCATCCTTAATGCCACGGTGTAACTTAGCATTGGATGGGACAGCAGTGCCTCCCCTCTGTCCCATCTCTCAAATCAGGAGGGAGTTTGGATTTTCCACAAATTCGAAATGTATTTTGTTTGTAGTGTAATTTAAAGCTACATAAGTTGTCATTATTTATATATACACACACACACACAGACGCAATGAGTTTATAAAATGAATTAAATGAAGGCGAATTTGAATTAAATTAGGTCAACATGGTGACAGGTGCATTTTTATCTCGGTTGGAACATTTTAAATGACATGCATTAACACCATAAGAGCTGAATGCTGTATTCAATAACAGCAAAAATAATGTCAGGGTGTTTGATAACATTAAGGGTTTCTTTGTTACGTAGGAGAAGTTACTAAACTCTTTTTTTAAAGGAAACCGCTTATCTTTGCCCTTTCAACAAGTTGCAAAATTTCCCTCCGTGACTTAACATAACAATGCTAGCAAATGCAGTGAAATGTCACATTCCTAACAATACATAAAAAAAATCTTGTTTATACAAAAGACATAGTTATTTTTGTATGCGTTCTCATACTTAAAGAACTGAACACATAAGCGGTACGGCACACACCAGAAGCAGCAGGCTTATGTAATAAAGGAAATAAATTAAAATTCCCCGGCAGGGGAAAATGACCAGGGGGAAAACGCAAACATGCATTTAAGTCCCTGAAAGTATCTACAAATCCATGTAAACAATTTCCGCCAAAAGTGGACAGGAATTCTTGGCAACAGTTAAAACACTGTTTGGAGCACACGGTGGAAATATGTTCGTGCCCTTATTAGGCCATTCGTTTAGATCTTTGAATTCCCGGTGACGCAAAAGCAATTTTGTTTCTCTTTAGCCATCTGGCATGGAATTTAATGTTGGTGCAGCGCAGAGGACAGCAATTCACCACAGAGAGTGTGTAACAATTACTGCCCTGCGCACACCGGCGCGCCGGTTGTATTTTGCAGGGTTGTACGCTCCCCGCCCATCCGTTACCCGGAATGGAATCGAGCGATAAAAATCGTGGACCTACTTTGGGCTCGGTGGGGGGGGGTAGAAGTATTTTCTCAGGCTCAACCACCTACAACTCTTCTCATCAAATGTCCTAACTTAAAACATGTTGGCAAACAGACCCCGGGGCGCCAGGGTGAGCACCATCGCCCACTGCCGTATTCCTTCCTAAAAATACTGTTTTCATAAATCGCCGCTTTCAGCCTCAACCTAACCGCTGCATATTTTTTATATATATAAAAAAAACGTGCTTATTTTAAAACACCACTGTGCTTTTCCGTTCCTGTAACTTTAAACGGGGTAAAGAAAGATGAGCTTATGTGAATGAAATGTAATTCCAAGGGACCCCTGAATGAATGATTAAGTAATTTGCCAGATTAATGAAATTTAAGATAGAATGTGCCCCCCCCCCGCTCCCAACCTGAACCACGCCCCACCTCACCATCCTCACCGTATACTCCGAACATGTGCCGATCACACCTGCATTTGCCTCAAATCATTACTTTTCGCCCCTTGCTATAAATGTACTCCTCCAAATTTTGCTTAGGTAAAACATGTCAACTTTTAACCAATGTCTCATTAGGCACAAGTGCTTGCTGTCGAACTTAAACAAAACCCTCAAGGCACTTTGTTCAATTTGATGCAACAAAATAATATATGGGAATACAACGGAAGCTGTAGCGCAGCACGGGTTGGCTTGGGCCGTAATACGAGGAATGAAACGGGACCCCCAAACCTTTTTCCCTTCTTGCTAGCCTGGCATTTGGGCCCCTCCTGGGCCCATCATCGGTCCTACTGCAGTCACACCACCTGCACACTCAATAGCTACACCACCGAATGGGATGGTGCGTGTGGGAACTTACCCACGTGCCCCCCCCTACTTGTCAATAATGAACTCTCGACCCCGTTGCAAACGGACCAACTGCTCCACCACCGAATACCAGAACAAACATTTTTTCCCCCCCCCAAAAAAGTAAACGATTTTAACTTTCTCTCCACAGTCCAGCTGTGTGGAACGAGCACAGCTGCCCTGCTGTCGTGCGACGTGTGCTGGAATGCCTTAAATGTCGGGCTGGGCCTTCCGTCGCGCACCCTACCATGCGTGGCGAGCCACTCGTTGAGCTCGATGGAGGGTGGCAGGGTGATGAGCGGACGGAGCTCCGACTCGGTGATGCATGCCCGCACGTAGTCGGGCTCCAGGTAGAGGCGTCGCTCCTCGGGGGCACTCTTCTTCTCGTTCTTCCGGCCACGCCTGGGCGCCAAGGGTTGGCAGGAGTCATCACGATGGCAATACTACACGAGCCCCGTAGCCAGCACGGACTGTCGGCACAAGCGCCGTTAGCGAGCACCTGTTAAGGCCGGTGTGGTGTACGAGGGGGTCGCGTGTGGCCAGCACCACGCGCCGACCAACTTTGCATTTCCAGTGACAGCATGCACAAAAAGCGCACCAGGTACTCATTTAAGGCAGAGTTGACCTCGTGGAGACCCAGAACTCGTTCAGATATTCTCCATTAATGCTGGCTCGGGATGGCGTGTCCGTCATGGGGGCCTCTTGCCCATACCTCACCATCCTGGCCATTTGTGGTTTGGTAAGGAAGGATGGAGTAAACCAAAAAATGAGTCGTTTGGCTCAGAGCAGCACAGCTCATCGACTTGAATACACCCCCTGTGCTCTATGGGCAATTCCTCAATGGCCAAAATGTTGGTGCACATTCATGATAAATTGACGGGACTTTATTTTAACAGGTAAAAACTAAAATTATGAGACTTGGTCTCTTTTTTGGAATGGCAATCTTGATCAGCGAGTGACAACAATGCAGTGCAATGCACGCGGAACGTACAACATGGATTAGCTAACCACGTGCGGGCATGCATCGCCGAGTCTTCAAATTAAAATAAAGTTCACTATGAATGTCGTGGCTTTTGAAACCACACGAATTAGTGTTGCAGTGTTGCGTACGGATCTCTCATACAGATGTGAAATCTGGACAACCAGAGTACAAAGACCCTAGAGAGCAAACTGGATGCAAGAGATGTGTTTTTAATGAGGACATTTCACGGACAGACAAGATGAGTAACGTAAATGTATTACGGATAGCAGGGTGCACAACGAGAAAATAAATAAGAATAATTATGGAAAGTTAAGAGTTCTTGGGCATGTAATGAGAAAATAAGAGACTTAAATAAATGTGTTTTGGCTGGGAAAATGATAGGTGCAAGAAACCATGGAAGTACGTAAGCAATGTGAACAATTGGATGCAACTTGGAGTATCTAACACGACGTTCTTGAGTAAATATCGTGGAGAGAACGACATCGAAAGCCATGATCGCCAACGTCTTTGAAAAAGATGTCACACAGAGAGAGAATGGCTATTGAAATATTTTGCGACACATTTGAGGTCAGTTTTATCAACTAGTCAACTGCAGTAAAACATGTACAATCATCCTGATACAGTAAAACCTCCAGGGGTGGCGCTTTGAAGCCAATTATCTGTTGTTGTTTTTTTTACTAAATTACAGATTGTTTTTGACACGCATGCCATGGAAAGCCCCAACACCATCTCAGCCTGGATCAAAAGGTCATTTCGTCCGAGCGCACCAGTTACCCTGATATATAATGAGCATTTCTCCCTTATCAAGCAAGGTGGACACATTATTTCCATCTCAGTCACGGCCCCAAAAGGTTAACGTGCTATGCCCCGGGTTAAAACTAAAAAAGGAAAAACACACTTCACCATTACGCCAATGATTACGCACATCTTTGACATGTCTCTTGAACTGTATGTACAGTCTGAAATCTTGTGCAACCAAAACGCCCTGGCGTTAGAGACGACATTGAAAGCAAAACGAAATGAGCGAGTCTCCCCCCCCCACACACCCCACAGAGCACAGTTTGTGTTTGAAGAGGCCAGAAGCAAAGGGAGCACCCAAAAAGCCCGAGTGACATTCGGCTGAAACTCGCCGAACGGGTTAATGAGCCCTGCAGAGTTTTTATTCTATGGTGGCACACCTCGCCGCAGAAAAACAGGCACAAACACGCAAATACACACTCAACCGGGGGGGGGGGGGGGGGAGCTGACACACCTCGGAGGCGACCGCATTCCTGATTCGTGTGTGCAGCTTCTCTGGGAAATGTTTTCCTTGAGAACGCGAGGCGACATGTTTTGCTCTGCATCGCGTCGTGATGCCAAGTGACAGAAAGTAATCCCACTGACCAGAGCGAGAGTGAGGACCATGCAGCAGGTTTTAACATCTATAATAATTTAATATATATTGTTCATCATTATGTTTAACTCTGCCCCGCGTCATGATGCCTGTGAACAGTGAAAGAAAAGAATCCCACTGACGAGAACGAGAGTGAGGAGCATGCAGCAGGTTTTCACGTGTATAATAAAAAAAATAATTTACTCATTATTATTAGAGTGCGAATGTCAATCTGCTGCTGGGTGAAGTACTGATAAAAATCCGTGACAAAGACTCAAAGTCTTGTCACCGGGTGTGTATCAGCGCAGTGCACCAACCACTCTGCCGCTGCTATACCGTACGTTAAACACATTATTTAAACGCTACGTATGTCTCCAAATGGGACCAACTTTTAAGGACCGAAGAGAATAAGATTAAAAATGAAGATCCAAAAAATGTTACATTAGTACAAAACCTTAGAAAGCGAATCTATATTCTTGGTTCTTTCGGTAAAGTCACGTAGAAGGGAAACAATAAAATAAAAATATAAAACAATACAATTATCACGACGTTTCGACTGCAACACAAGCAATCATCATCAGGTGTGAAAACCACAGCAATAATTTTTTTATTACTATTTTATTGTTTCCCTTCTACGTGACTTTACCGAAAGAACCAGGAATATGAATCCCTGCAGTCACGAAAGCTTTAAATCCAGCATTTAAACGAATATTCCTTAATGACCCTAACAATATGAATGTTCTTGCACTTTGTTGATCTGCTCACTCATCACGGATTCTCCCTCGTCAAGTACCCGGGGAAACCGACTGAACGCCATCATCCGTGTAACAAATCAAACATTTTTTCTTAACTCAAACGCAACACACGAGAGAGACTCACCTAAACATCTGCCTGCAACTTGCCAACATCGATACGAGACGTCCTGCGGGAACTCATGCGTCTCCGTGCGGAACATTAGCGCGCGCCACCGCGCTGGCATGCCCGACACGAATGGACGGACGTGTCCACCGGGCGTAACGTTTAACGAGCAAGTAAATAGTTTAATAATATTTAAAATAATTGAATACAATTGCAGCAGCGGCGGCGTCAGCGGTCAAACATCGGGGTTTGCATCGGGCAAATGTCATTTGACGAACAGCGTACGACACAAAATTACTCGACTTGGTCCATCCCGCGTCACTCACGGCATCGAGGCAACATTTATGCCGCTTCCCATCCCTCCCCCCCGTAGTAGTTTACATTCAGGTTGGGCTTCTTGATTTGAAGCTTTCGTGACTGCAGGAATCCATACTCTCTGATTCTCTCGGTAAAGTCACTAGGAAGAAAAAACAGATCACAATCATCTATTATTTTTTTCTACCTACGTGACTTTACCGAAAGAACCAAGGAGTACGGTGCTTCTTATTGTTACAATAATCGTCGCCGTCGTCGTTATTATTATTACTACAACCGGCTAGTCGCATTACACAGGCACGCTGTCGTGAGCCCTCGACACGCCACTCACTCCACCACGCGCGCGCGCGCCCCAACCGAGACGCAACTCACCGCAGCACCCTGCCCATTGCGCGGAAAACCATCTTGCAGTGCGCAGTGGATGGAGCTGGCTGGTGCGGAGTAGCCGTCGGGGCTGACTTAGCCAGTGCACGCTCTACCATGATTGTTCGGGCACAACTCCCAGCGACGCCTTCCTACACGCGCGCGCACGCGCGCGCAGAGTACTCTTTAAGAATGTAATGCCATTAATATTTGATTGATTTTTGTTTCTCTCTCTAAAACTTCGTTCGCTTGATAGGGGGTGTGCGCACCAGCCGATTGCCTGCGTTTCGTCGACCGCTTATGCTCACACACACCCCCCCACCACCACCACTCAGCTATTTAGTAAGCACGCAAAGTGAGTTGCTACTGTCCCGCGCACAGTAATCATTAACGTCTCCCCTCCGCCGACCCCACCTCCTCCTCCCACGCCTCAGTGCCTCCCCACTCCAACAGGCCACCAAAAACCCAGCCGCCTCCTCCCTTCCCCTCCGTGGCGACTCATTGGCTCCTGGAGACCCCCGGCGATGCGCCGTTCGCAAGGCGTTGGGCGGCGCGCGTCTCAGAGAATTCGGTTCGAAACTTTCAGCGGGGCCGGGCGAGTGATGGGCCACATGGCACGGGGCAATGTTCGGTGCGCGTAGGAAACGGAGGCTGTGCGCCGCTAGAAACCCTTCCTTGAACGAGGGCACACACTTTGTATCGTCTGCATTTTAAAACTAAAATACATTTAAAAAAAAAAACCCTCCCCCACCTACGTGATGGCGTTTTTTTACACTGCATTTCAGGCCCACGGGACTGCTTAAAAATATCGAGTTGTTTTCTCCATTTGATTTGTACACGTATTATAAAAAAAAACAACTAATGCCTATATTAATCTTGATTGCAGGAATTCATACGTTTTGGTTCTATCGGTAACGTCACATAGATAGAAAAAAAAAAAACTCACGACGTATATAACCACCACAAACGTTTATATAACCTTTAGTTACAGTCGCTCTCATAATAATTCATAATAATACATAACTCGTAATAATTCATAATAATACAGAAGCTCTCTCGCTACATTTCCTCAGCAGTCCGCCTGCTGTATTGTTTCACCTGAGGACGATGGCTTGTGTTGCTATCGATTTATTTATTAGTTATTTTTTTATATCTACGTGACTTTACCGAAAGAACCAAAGAGTATAATGTCTATATTGTGCAAGTAAAATATATTGTCAAACCGTTGATAAATGAGGCCCGCGCTGTCTGAAAATGTAACTCAAATAGAAATGTAATGCTTTTACAAAAGCTGTATAGTTTATAAGAATACGGTCAGAAACGTCAGATTAATACGTCGAGAATTGCGAATATTTATCGCAATTCTCACTCGGTACACTGTCAGCCAATCTGTGGCGCTGCCAAAAACGTGGCACAAACAACACATACCAGCCACTCCAATTGATGCATGCGTGTGTAACAGTAACGAGAGTGAGGCGAGGGGACTGCCGTCCCATCCCCCCGGTGGCCAAA